ACCAGCCTCAGCCGCGCCTCAACGCCGAACGCCCGTCCAGAACAGCCAGGAACAACCAGAGAGGCCGTGGCGGTCGCGGCAGGCGCTGGCAGGGATCAAAAAGAAAGGGGCGTGCAGCGAGATCACCCGATGCTCGGAGAGCCCGGTAGTGGTTCCAAATCCGCCGCGGGCTACGTCCCCCCATGGGCCGGGGCAAGGGGAACCCGGCCAGCGGGGGTGGCCCCGCGCGCGCTCTGCCCCAGCCCTTGCGGGGTCGGAGGCCAGCCTCCGCGAGGGGCTGGCTGGAGGGGCCCGGATGGACGCCTGCGGCAAGCTCTTGTTGAGGTACGTCCGGCAGGGATCTGCAAGCGGGCATGGCGACAGCGTGCTTCGGGAGCGCGCGCCAATTTCGTGGGGGAGTGAGGCGGGCCCTTGCCGTGCTCGAGCGCCCGACCTCCTTCCTTGCCCCACGCCGCCGGACCTCTGCCCCCGCCGCTCGCACCCCTGCTACCTGCGCTTCGTCGCCGAGGGGGGCGAGACAGGCAGCGGGGGTGCATCCGAAGGCCCCCGCCGGTTTGGACACGCAGCTGCACCCAGTCATGAGGGGCTGGAACTCCTTTTGGGACGGGTCACGGCAGCTGCCGGACGCCGCCAGTCCGGCTGCCCGCGCTGAACCGACCGCTGCGCAAGTACATGCGTTCTGGCACCTGTTAGATTGTGAGCTTCCTCAACGCGCCGGGCTTGCAGGTTCCCAAGGCGAGCCCTTCGTCTTTATCCTCTGAGTGGGAGGTCGGCTACGGGGGCGACGTCGTGCAGAGGGCGGTCGAGGTCACGTGGGAGCAGGTGGGGCCCGCCCTGCCGCCGGCGCACAGGTGCGCGCGCACCCAGGCGGCTGACTTATGCGAGCCCCGCGTCCGACGCATCTTGGAGGAACCGCTGGAGGCGCTGCTCCCGCTGGAGGTTTTTGCGCGTCGCCCGAAGCCGGGCAAGGTCAAGGCCAGCCCTGCCGAGATAATCAAACTCGGCAGAGGGCTCCTGGACAGTGGCCTTGCGGCGCCGCTGCGGCCCGACGAGCTTGCGCATACTGCAGGGGAACCACCCGTGAACGGCGTGTTCGGCACCGAGAAGGAGGACAAGGTCGTCGGTGACCTTGCCATGGTCTCCAGCAGCTACGGTTGGTCATGAACCTGACGGCCAGCAACGAGCTCATGGGCGACTTCCCGCTGGATATTGCGAAGCTCCTCTTCCACGCCCAGTGGCGCGGCATCTGCGTCGCGGAGGGCGACGACTTACAGTGGGGCCACGATGACATGAAGGGCGCGTTCTACTTCTTCGCGTTGCCGCGCAAGTGGGCCGCATATTTTGCATTCGATTTCGCTTTCGAGCCCTCCAGCCCGGGGCCTTTCACGCTGGGGAGCCGACCGCGCTTTCTTGGGGGCGGTCACCATCCCTATGGGGTGGCGTTTGGCCATGGGCCTGTTCCAGTACCTGCACGGGCGCGTGCAGCTGGCCGGAGGCGCATCCCCGACGGAGCTGCCACCTTGCAGGGAATTAAGCAAAGTCGGGCCCATGCCGCTGCTCTCCAGTAGGTCCAATGCGCTTCGGAGCATTTGGCAAATCTACTGCGACGATGCTGATCACGGCCGGCTTGCGCAGCGCTGCGACGCATGGCGGCGACGCGTGAGCGAGGCTACCCATCTCGGGGAGGTAGCGCGTGAGCGCTATCGGGAGTGGTCGGCGCCGCTGAGCGCAAAGAGCGGTACCCGCTGCAGCTTAGTAGCCCGACTGGGAGCCTCGTTTGACAGATGTGACGGGCGCCTTCGCCTGTCGGCGAAGAGGGTGGGACTCTTGGCCCGCCTTGCGCGTTATTGTGCCGACGCCGAGCGCGTCGCCCGGAAGCAGCTGGAAGTCCTGATGGGCCATTGGGTCCACGCCGCTTCCTACCGGGAGGAGTGCATGAGCTGTTTCTCCGAGATCTGGCACGCCCCGCGCGGCGCTCGAGTGGGGACTACGGACTGCCGTCAGGTTTCGGAGCTCAGCAATCGCGAGCTTTTTCTGCGCCAGGCCGCCCATGCCACCGAAGTGTCGGTGGTCTGCACGCCGGTGCGTTGCGAAGGCTTTGCCTTGCGCGTGGCTGACGTGAGCGAGGTGTGCCGCCAGTTGAGGCGCGAGAGCCTGGGACTTCGCGTCTGGCCAAATGCCTTCGCGCCATTCGCGCTGGCGCCGTTGGAGCTGCAGGAGGTGGCCCGGAGTTTCGGCTCGATCCCGCTCGAGTTGTTCATCGAGGGCATCTCGAAGTACGCTGGGCGCGAGTACTGTTGGCTCAGCTGGCCCCTTGAGGGCGCCGAGCATATAAAGCTCCGTCACAGTAGACATGCGATGCCCCTGGCGCCGCCGCGGCGGCTGCCCTGCCCCAGAACCAGTGCGGAGCCGTAGGCGTGAGAGAGTGCTGTCTGGTGGGCGAGCCTCATGTTGGGTCGCGCGCTCCGCGGAGCATCGAGTGCAAGGCCGAGCTGCAGGGATTTTCTCGCGATTACTTTTTGCGCGCGCACAGCCGCAAGAACACGGGGGCGCAGGAGACTCAGCATCGCGCCCGCCCATCAGCTGGCCAGGCAGGGGGGCTCCGTCAACGCCCTTGCTTACTTGCTCGGTCTCTGGGCGTGGCAGCGCTTCCTGCTGCCAGACGCCCCAACTCCAGCAGTCGCTCGGGGAGAGCCTTCGTCTGTGGGCAGCGCGTTCATTGAGAGGCTCGAGAACGCCCGCACTGACGACATAGACTGCCACCAGTCACATCGACTGACGCCCGAGTCCATGATGCGGTTGACTATCTTCAAGGGCTCGGACGTGAGGCTTGCCTCGGCCACGCTGTGTGACCCCAGCATCTGGCCGCGCCGCGGGCTACCGGCCTCCCGGTGGAGGTGGCGCGCGTACTTAGCCTGGAGGTGGCAGGGCGCAGAGCACACTAACCAGCCAGACTTGCGAGCCGCCCCAGTAGCATCAAGTGGAGGCTCTGGCGCACCGAACAAATTAACAGTAGATTCGTGCATCTTCTGGACAGCCAGGTCTGCATTGGCGTCCCATGCAAGGGAAGGTCCTCTGCCTGGGGCCTCCAAGAGATTTTGAATCGTCTGGTCGCATTGCTGTTGGCTGGGAGTCTTCGCGCTCATTGGGCGCACGTGCAGTCGGCGGACAATCCCGCCGACGAGCCATCGAGATTGTGAAGGGGCACTTCGAAGGCAACGCGCCACAACAGCGACGACAGATACGACGAAGAATGGGCACCTTGCGCAGCCTTGTAATACAGCCGCGCACCCTCGAGCGGTATGACGATGCTGCGGGATTTTTTTGTCATGTGGCTTGACCATGAGCACTCCTGCGCTTTCAATCGAGACAGCGTGACAAGCCCGCTTACCGCGGAGGCCGTCGATGCAGCGGCTGCAGACTACCTTGAGTCCTTTTGGGACGGGGGCTCGGCCCGGCCCCTTGCTGCTGATACCTTGTCGGGGCTGCAGCACTTCGTGCCTCCGCTCCGCCAGGGGCTCCAAAACATTGAAGGCTGTTGCGCGCTTGGGACCAGAGCGAGATCCCGAACAGGGCGCCCCCGAGGGTAAAACCCTACAGAAGAGCTGCCGTCGACAAAGGTCAGGAGCTCTTGGTATCAGGGTCAAGCCGCATCGTGGACGAGAGAAGCTAACAGTGCAAAGTTCGACTAGCGCCAGAGAGAGGGCAAAGTGAGTATCGCCTCCACCGACACGCCGCCACTGGGCGAGGCCAGTAGGGCTGCTGCACCAGTTCCACCCAAGGGCGAGGCCGTCTTCACAGCGGCTGCTCCGCGAATCCGCCTGGGGGTGAGGCCACGGGGTTGCTGCTTCCAGTTCCACCCCGGCGAGGCCCGCTGCTAGGCCGGCTGGCGGTACTTTGACCGAGTCGTTAGCTCGACTCGAGGGTCCATGGGGGGAGGCGAGCCGCGCGCGCGTCGAACACTGCGGCGCGGCGCGCGATCCAAAAAAAGAAAGCGCAGGGGGGCGCAAGGGAGAGCAGATCGGAAGATAGCTGTGCCAGAAGTTTCTGGTCGTGCGTGTGCAGCGCCCGGATCGGTAATTATTGTTAGCCGTTAGCCCCGAAATCGGAACGTAAGAGACGGGGGTCAATGCAACAGGGTTCAGCCAGGGCACCGGATCCTGCAGGATCCTGCGAAGATCCACTCTGGCTGACCCGGGTTAGCGAGCCGCTCGTGGCCGCGAGGCGGCCGCGCATATTGGCTGACCCGGGTTTGCGAAGCCATGCCTTGCGGTTGTTCTTTTCTTGTATTCCAGTTTTTGGGGCTTCTGCTGACCAGGGTCTGATTGACAAAGGTTAGCAGGTCCCCCACGAAATTATTTGGTCCCCCCATCCCCCGTCCTCTTTCAGGGAGGGCCTCGGAACAGCGCTCAGGGCGACGAAAGAGTGTTTGTTATTCCCTCGCAGCTGCGGGGGGCTACGGAGCAGCGGCGGTCCAGCTTCTGCCGCCTGCGGTGATCTGCGTGATGTCGACGCGCGTGTCCCCGGCGATCCTGGGCCGCTGAGAACAGCAGTAACAAGGACAACAGAGCCGAACACATTGGGCTCGCATGTTCGGGGTGTGATCGTTTTCTTATTAATTGTTTTGCTCATCGGCGCGAGCCCTCGCCCCCCACCCTTATGGAGCAGGTCTTGGCTGTTCTTGGCGCCTGTCTCAAGCAGGTGGACTCTCCCCCATAGGGCGCACTGCTGCAGACATCGCACTGAGCAGATGTCTGGAGCCAGACCCCCCCCATCCCCCCCCTTTCCGCCCAATGTCTAAACGCCGAATCAGAAAACGCTCACAAGGGAAGGAAGCGGAGGAAGCGGATGAGGCGGAGGAGGCGGAGGAGGAGGAGGCGGAGGAGGAGGAGGAGGAGGAGGAGGAGCTCCCTCCCGCTTCCCACCCTTCCGCCCAGTGTCGAAACGCCGGCTGAGAGAACGTTTAAATTCTCGAAGCCCGGCTGCGCTCCCCTCGCCAGGTGCGCCCAGCGACACGGCGCGGACCCGTTCCAGGAGGACCTCGTGCTGCCCGTGGGCGCCGTGTTGCGGGGCCTGCAGGCCACCGAGCGCTGCAGCGCGGCGCGCCGTACGCCGCTGCACCTGATGTACGTGGTCCTCGCAGGAGGAAGCCCTCGAAGGAGGAAGACCTCGAGGTTCGAGCCTCGAGGATCGAGCCTCGAGGCTCGAGGCTCGAGGCTCGGCATTTGGGCCCCCGTGGGCCCTCGTCGCCACGGCTGGACGCGGCTCGAACATCTGGTGCGTCTGGATCCCTGGCTGGGGGCTGGGGACCCATCCTGAGCGGATTTTGAACCCCTCGTGTCGTGTCACGCCGCTGCACCTGCTGCACGGGGTCCTCGAAGGAGGACATCCAGCAAAGCACACTGAAAGCAGCAAAGGTGAAGAGGCGGGTCGAGGAGTAGTCGGCGCACCCTTCACACGTTTCGCGACCCCATAGGATGCTCCACCGAAGGCACCAGTGGCAGGGCCCGCACGCAGTTCCACTTCAAATCCGGCGCACCCCTCGCACGATTCGTGACCCACAGGGTGCCCCGCCGAAGGCCCCAGTTGCAGGGTCCGCATGCAGTTCCACGTCCATTTCGGCGCAACCCCTGCACGCTTCGTGGCCCCATGAGGGTGCCCCACCGAGGGGCCCCAGTTGCAGGGTCCGCGTGCAGCTCCACCTCCATGTCGGCGCACCTCTCCCGCGCTTCGTTGCCTCACAGGGTGCTCCACCGAAGGCCCCGACGGCAGGATCCGCATGCAGTTCCAGCTCCATTTCGACGCACCCCTCAGACGCTCCATGGCCCTAGGGTTTCGGTCCCAGGCCGTTTTCACTAAGGGGAGGTCTACTAAAGGGAGGTTTGTCCACCGCCGAATGGTGAGCTCCACAGAAGGCCCAGCGGCAGCGCCCGCGTGCCGCCGTCATCCCACGTTGGCACACCCCTCACACGTTTCGCGCCCCCACGAGGAGCTCCACCGCTCCACGAGGACTGCGGAACTTACAACTGCATGTGGACGGGCCCTTCGCAGAGCTAATTTTGCGTCGGGGGGCTCTCACCAGGCCCTGGGACTGTCAAAACAACGACTTGCAATGAAAGATGACCCTGGAGGAAGGGTCGGGACTTCCAGGGACCCCGTATTGAACAAATCGCAACGTCGCATGCCACTGCTGATGCCCAGGCATCCGCATCGTGTGCCTATGTGTGCGTCGAGGGATGCGTCCATGGACGTAGCTGGGCGTAGTGGATGCCTAGACATCGACCTGTTGATGCCAAGGCATTGGCGATGTCGATGTATCGGCAGGACGGTGCGCAGGGTAGGCATCGACGCTTCAAAGTACCAGAGTCAGTGGGCCGTGCCTAAGTGTACGCTTGTGCAGTGGCTTGAAGACCATCAAAGACATGCCTTTAGAGACACTCTGAGACTGTGGCGTCGCAGTTATTGACGCTTCGCGTATCTCCGCCAGCCTACCCATCAACAGACGCCAGTCGAGTTGCCCTGATCAAGGATGTATAGCGGCATGCGGCATAGCAGTGAACGGCATCCGTGTTGGCGAGCATTTGGAAGGACGACAAGGGAAATGGCGACGACGACAACGACTACAGGAGTAACCTTCAAGGCCTTCGCATATCGTTCGCCGCAGCAGCGTCTGAGAGACCTTTTGAGGCCATGTTGCAAACCTCTTGGTTCCCTGTGGTCCTCCTTTGGGGCCAAATTGGGGCACTCTTGGGACTCTCTTGGTGCCTCTTGGAGGCTGTGGAGGCCCTCTTGGTGCCATCTTGGACGCCATCTTGGACGCAATCAATTAAAAAACGAGAGCGGCGCAAATTGTGCCCCCCCCCCCCCCCTCGGGGCCCTCTTGGAGCGTTCTTGAGGCGGTCTTGGGCGCTCTCGGGGCCCCTCTTGGGGCCGTCTTGAGCCCTGTTTCAGCCGTCTGATTGCTCCTACATGCGGTCCCGGGAAGCCCCGACCCTGGCCCGGGGGCCTGCTTCTCGTCCCGGGCAGTTTTTCGACGGTCCCCGGGGTCCTGTTTCGACGGTCCCGCGGCCCAGCGGGGCCCCGGGAAAGGCTTCCGTCCTGTTCGTGTGGCTCAAGACGTCGGGGGCCTGGGGGGTGCAGGTCTTTTTTGGGCAGCAGGTCACGGAAGCTTCCACTCGTCTCGGGTTGCAATGTGTGTCGGCGAGTAGCGCCCGATGGCGCTCGCCCAGTAGCGCCAGATGGCCAAGAGCAGCCACGACATGGCGCCCAACAGCGCCCCGATGGCGCCATCTGAGGAAGGTGCCTTGCGTCCGCACGGTGGGCTACTGGGCGCCTCGGGGACGACCAGAAGCTTCCCTGCACGAGTTGCTTTCTAAGGTCCTCTTTTGTTTCAACACGTTGGAGGTCTGCTGGCGCAGGTCTCCGTCCTCAGTATCGTTTAACCTATCCCCATCACCACCGGGCCATGGTACCTGAACTCTACCATCCCACCACCCCAGTTAGGGGATATGCCCCTCCAAACCCTAAGGGTACAGCCTATTTCCCCAACTTCAGGGGTACATCGGTCAGTGGGGCCCAGGCCACGCCAGTGGGCACGGATCGGTCAAACGAGGCTCATCCTCCGACTCGATTCGACTCCATGTCGATCGAATCCCTGTTTGGTTGCCGATCTCCGCCGATCCGGTTCACTCCGATCGCAGGTCCGACTTGTCCATTCGCTCCTGGGATCGGCCGAACGATGCTCCAGGTTGCGAGGCGGGGATATTTCCACATCCACGGCCTGCTGAACCGACGTCATGGGATCCCAGCGGGCGGCGGATGTGGACATGTTTTTGCCCCAGGGGACCTGTACATATCCATATCAACCGCCTGCCGTGGTTCCCGAAGTGGATCCCTCAGGCGGTGGTTTTGTATCGGCCACGCGCAGAGGGGGGTAGGGGGAGGGGGGAAGGCTTCTCAGAAGGAGGCTGCCTCTTAGAAGGCGCGGGCCTCGTCTTGATGTAGGGCCCGCGCCTTCTGAGAAGCAGCCTCCTCCCGAGAATCCTCCCTTCCTCCCCCTGCCCCCCCTTCCTGCGCGCCGCCAAATCCTGATGCCGCTTCGTGCTTGTTGGATGCTCGTGTGCATCCCGGGGAGAGTGCCTTTGGGTGTCCTGAGTGTCCTTCAGAAGCCAGACGACGGCTGGCAAATCCGCGGCTGCTAAAACGGAGCTCCGGGAACTTTTTTTCCTTCCGGGAAGCAGCCTGTTTACCAGTTAGTGCGCCGAGCTTGATTCTGGGAATTTGTTGTTTCCCTCCGGGAGGACCGTTTTAGCAGCCACAGATTTGCCAACCCTCGCCCAGCTTCCAAGTCCTGGCCCTCGGAGGGCCTCATGTGCTCGAGGGCTGCTCTTCTGTCCCGGGTCTGGCTGTACCTTTTTCGGTCGTCCCTACTCGGGCGGGCCCTCGCCGCCTCGGCTTGGACTCGCCCCCCGAGATTCCGGTCCTCGGTAGGGCAGGCGTCCCTTTGCAGGAGGAATGCTCGAGAACACGAAGACAAGAGCCTCTTGACGATTTGTCGTGCTCTCTTTTCGCTCATTTTTGTTTGTTTGTTTTGATTACGTGTGATTTTTCCCGCCTCGGACGGGTGACCGTGTTCTTATTCATTGTTTTGCCGATCGGCGCGGGCACTTGCACTCCCCCCCTGGAGTAGATCTTGGCTGCTCCCGGCGCCTGTTTCGAGCAGGTGGAGTCTCCCCCATCTAGGACGCACTGCTCGCAGACAGTCGCATCAAGCAGAGGTCCGGAGCCAGACGCCCCCCCCTTCTGGCCAATGTCGAAACGCCGAATAAGAAAACTCTGGGGTGGACAGAACCCGATGAGTGAGTTGTCCGTTTTCGGTTCTCGAGAGGGCGCCGTGGCCGTGATTTTCCAGGCTTGCGCCCGCCAGGTTTGGGCCTCAGGTCGTTTTCACTAAACCACGTTTTGCTAAAGGGGGGTCTGTCAATCCCCGAAAAACGCTCACCATCGAAAACTCGAGTAGGGGATCGACGACATAGTCGAGTTACCCTGAAAATTGACCTCCCGCCGCACCTACGAACCACACGGAGAGTGCTCCGTAGATCTACGGATTGTTCTGCGTGTTGTTCTCCTGGGCTCGGCGAGAAAAATAGTCCTTGGGGAAAACCAAGGCTGTAGTCGATCCCCCACTCGAATAACGAGACCCTCTGCCCAATGCCGAAGCGTCGACAAAAAGAAGGCGTTCGCCAGGTCTCGGCGGCGAGCGAGGGGGGGAAGCGAGAAGGAAAAGACCTTCTCAGAGTGGCGGCGGGACTTCTCCCAAGCCCTCGCGCCTTCCGAGAAGCTGTCCGCGCCTTCGGGGAAGGCGTACAGCTGCTTTTCCCAGCGGGCGGGGGGCAGCACTTCCGAGCCTCCTGCGCAGGCCCGCCCCTCCGCCCCGCCGCCGAGACAGGTCCTCTTCACCAGCACCGTCTCCCTGGCGCTCGACGTCCCCTCCGCCTTCGAGGCCCAGCGCGGCGTGCTGCAGGGCCTGGGCGGCGGGGGCGCCGCCGGCGCCGGCGCCGGCGAGGCGGGCGCGCCTCCCGCGCCGCGCGTGCGCTTCGAGAACGTCAGCAGCCTGGCGGAGTTCTGGGGCTGGGCCGCGGAGGCCTCGGGTCGAGTCGGGCGCGTCCCTCTACGGGAGGAAGATTCGAAAGTAGTCCCAAGAATAGTCGGGGGGCGATTGGTGTTTTGTTTAGAACTATTTTTGAATTTGTTTGGAATATATCAATGGTATTTCTAATGTTTCGTCCAAAATCCGCCTGTAGGGGGACTATTTTTGGATTACATCTACGGTCTTTCTAATGGTTCGTCCAAAATCCGTCTGTAGGGGGACATGCCCGACCTGAGCCTCGGGGCGAAAGTTGGCTCGACGGGCCGCTGGGGAGGGAGCTCCTTGTCCAGAAACTGCTCCGATCCTCTGGGTGCACGTCGACAGCCAGGGGGCACCACAACAGAGTCGAGGGTAGTGGGCGGACCAGCAGGGTGTTTGGGGCGCACTCCGGGCAAGACAGAGCAGCCGCCAGGTCTTGAGGTGCAACTGTGAATTCCGCTCCGAGGATCTACGGCCTGGCCTGCCAAGAAAAAAAAGGGCACCCAGTTCCGAAATATTGGTAGCAAGTCATGCGAGCTTGGTATGCCCTCTGAATTCCGTCTTCAGCATCGGTTAGCCTCGAGTAGCGTTTGGGAGTCGATGGGGTAGCGCCGGTTTAGCTTCGGTTAGCGTCGATTAGCGTCGAGTTAGCGTCGATCAGCGTCGACTTAGCGTCGAATAGCGTCGATTCGCAATAGCCGACAAGATGGTGGCTTCCATGAGGTGCCATTGAACAGGACCCCAGCTGACCCTGGGGGGAGGAGAGGACGGAAGAAGAGCAGGAGGAGGAGGAGGAGGAGGAGGAGGAGGAGGAGGAGGAGGAGGAGGAGATGTTGCCGCAGTTGTCGATTGCACCCCCGATTGGGAGCTGCACGTGGCGGCTGGGTGCGGTTCGGTGGACAGTCAAGTCCGGCAGTTTGGGATCGGGTCGGGCGGGGCCTACGGTTCTCTGGCGGTTGGGCCCCGAAACCCAAAGTCTGGATTGGGATCACGGAGCCAGGTTTTTGTATATGGTTTTTCTTCGCGCGGCAGCAGTTCCGGTTAGTGGAGTGGGGCGGGGGGGTGCGTCCCCTGGAACACATCACTAACTTGTGTCCTCCTAAACCCAATCCCGCCAACGCGTGATCGAAGGCGAACATGGGCCAGGTCAGAGATGAGGTCGGAGGATCGCGCCGCATCGCCGATGCAACGGCGATGCGGCTCGATGTGTGGACCGATTCTCTCCATGCCGTCGTCGCCGCTGCATCGCCGACATCGCCGATGCATCGTTGTTGCATCGGCGATGCGGCGCGATCCTCCGACCCCATCGACTCGGACTCCATCTGGGTGGCCTTGTAGAGCAGTCGGCCTCCTCCGTCTTGCCTGCCCATTTCGGCGTCGGAGGTTTGGGAGGTTTTCGGAAGTTGTCGTCGGCTCTCGGCGGCCTTCCAGCCTCGGGATTCTTCCCAGCAGCTGCGCCTCGCCGAGAGCATTCCGGGGGTGTCCAGATCGTCCCGAACGGCCGCCAGAGAGCCGAATCATGACCCGAAAACTCATGGAGCCCAAGGAATTCAAGGTACCGACATCCGCTCTTTGTTCCCAGCCATTCCGTGGCGCTGGGTCCTCGTTTTGAAGAGACAGCGCCCCGCGTTCCTCACTCCTTCCCCCCCCTCCTCCCCCTCCTCCCTCTTCCCATCCCTGCCTCTGCCCTCCGCACGTCCATGTCGGCATGCCCCTCACGCGGTTCGTGACACCATCGGGAGCTTCACCGAGGGCGCCAGCGGTAAATTCCGCATGGCATGTCCGCACCGGATTCGGCACACCCTTCACACGTTTCGTGGACCCATAGCGAGTTCCACCGAAGGCGTTAGAGACACAGTCCGCATGGCGTACCCCCACCCGATTCAGCACATTCCTCACGCGTTTCGTGGCCTCATGAGGGAGCCCCACCAAAGACCCAAACGGCAATGTCCGAATGGCGTACCCGGACTGGATTCGGCACACCCCACACACGTTTCGTTGTCTCATGGGGAGCTCCACCAAAGGCCCCAGTGGCACAGTCCGCATATCTTATTCACACCCGATTCGGCACATCCCTCACACGTTTCGTGACCACACAGGGAGCTTCACCGCAGGCCCCAGTGGCACAGTCCGCATGCCGCTCCCGCACTCGATTCGGCACATCCCACACACGTTTCGTGGCCCCACAGGGAGCTCCACCGAAGGCCCCAGTGGCACAGTCCGCATGGGCGTGCCCGCACTCGATTCGGCACACCCCTCGCACGTTTCGTGGCCGAGATTCTAATCAGAACGCACCCCAGGACAGGTTGTGGGAGTAGCCGGAGCGTACCTTCCCCCCCCCGAGACATGAGCACAATAACTGTTGGAGGTCTATGCGGGGTGTGCCTGGGCCTGCGCTGAGCCTCCCTCGCCGCGCTCCGCGCCCCAGAGATGGTGGCGTCGGCGCCGATCCGAGAAATCCGCGAGGATCTTCTCGAATGTTGTTGCCCAGAGCGCTGCTCTTCCAGAGGCGCTGTACCCGCAGGTGTTCGAGGCGGAGAGGTTCAACAACCTCGGCAACGGGTCCGAGGCGGTGTTCGCGGTCGCCAAGTACAACCACGTGGTGACCCCCGTTCGCTTCCGGCAGCTGCGCGCCAGGAGCGGACAGTGCACCTTCCCGGCCGACTCCCACGCGCTGTCCCAGCCGTGCTGGGTGGACTACGGGCCGGGGCGCGCGGAGGAGAGCCTGCGCCCGTCCTCGGCCGCGAGCTCCATGCCGAAGGGAGAGCACTGCATGGGCACAGACAGTCGGCGGTCCGCGCGGCTGTCTCGGATCTGCGCTGTGCAGCCCTGGGCGTCGCGCCAGGGCGGGGGGGGGCCCAGCGCAGATGCAAGACGTGCGCGCGGAGCTCCGAAAGTGCATGGTTACACGCCGGTCGTTGAAGGCAGGTCTTTCTGGAATCCCAGATCACAACCCACTCCAAGCGCCTTCCTACCTTCGAGAATCGATCTGCGTTTGCTGTGTCTTGCTATTCTCTGGGAGGGCCTGAACCCAGTCTACTTGATCCGCCCTCCCACCTCATGCTTTTACCTACTCCTCCCGACCGGCGTGCACGCGGTACGCGGTTGGTCCTCCTTCTGCCATCCCTGGCGGCTCCAAGTACTTCCCTGGGGGCCTGTCGGTCCTGCTGGCCGACCGCGAGGCGGGGCCCCTCGGGAGCCTGGACGTGGAGGACGGGCACGCGGTCGACCTGGAGCTGAACAGCTCCCTCGCGCTCGGGAGGCTCCAGGGCATGGTCGCGGACAGGTGCTGGTTCGGTCGCAAGTGCCGGGAGCCTCGTGCACCCTTGCAATCCGATCTTCAGCCTCGATTCGCGCCGGCTCGCGTCTGGAAGTCGATGAGACAGCGCCGAACTAGCGTCGATGTAGCGTCGATCAGCGTCGATTTGGGCGTCGATTCGCAAGAGCGGACCAGATGGTATGGGAGGCCCCCATGAGTTGCCACCGAATGCTGGGCCGCCCAGATGAGGTCAGTCTAGCTGGGGTCGGGCGATCGCGCCGCATCGCCGATGCACCGTCGATGCGGCTCGAGGCGAAGCCTGGTTTCCTCCGCGCCGACGTCGCCGACGCGTCGCTGACGCGATCCTCAGACCCCGTCTTCTCGGGCTCCATTTGCCGGGAAAACGTCAGACTCGAGTAAGCCGGATTTGGGGTTAGCCGAAGTTTTTTTGACGAGTGCATCCTGGATTTTGACGGTCCAGTTTTCGTAGGATGTTTGCAGCGGTAACTCGCGTCAAATGTCAAATTGTGTCTCGTCATTTTTGATGATAGCCCCCTCAGGCCAACCCGAGTCCCCCGTACCCGAGTCTTACGTCTCCCCGAATATGAGAGCCTGTAGGTGGGCGGACGAGTGGACTAGGACGCTGGCGGTGGAGGTGAACACGTACAACAATTTTTATGGCGATTGAGAAACAAATTGCGTGAGCATGAATTTCCTGAGTTCCGCGCGGAGTTCTTGGATCGGCGTTGGGCCCCCCCAGCGGCGCATCCGTCGCCGCCCCTTGCGCTCCCCGTGCGCCGGGGAGGAGGGCCCAGCGCTGCTCCAGTAAATCCGCGCACCTCCAAAAGTTCATGCTGGTGCAGTTGTGTATTCCTCTAGGCATGGCCTCCGTCTTCCGATTCCAGGTCGAGCAGACCCTCGGCGGCAGGCTATCAGCGCACGTGGAGGCCTGCTCCTGCTCGCTGAGCCCGTACGCGGGGCTCTGGGGCGAGGTGCACCTCATCCTGGAGGTCTGCTGGGCTGTCGCGTACGTGGCCTACCTGGTCTACGCAGTGATCGATACGAGAAATGGTAAGAGGTTGGACTATCCAGCTGCCCGTGGCAAGTCCCGCCACCGTGCCAGCCCAGCATTCTCGGTGATGATTGTCCGAGGAGCGCACAGGAACACGTACTCACCGGTCGTTGAAAGTAGGTGTTCTTGGATTCCGAGATCCCAACCGATTTCAAGCGTTTTCCTACTTCAGTAATCGATATGTTTTGCCGTTTTTGTTATTATTCGTGCGGGCCCGAACCCAATCTACGTTACTCGCCTTCCTGCTTCATGTTTCTATCTACTGATTCCGACCGGCGTGTACCATCTGACATTCTTACCCCGAGGTTTGGGAGATCCGTAACATGTGATACACTCTTCCGCTGCCTGTCGGATTTTTATTTCCTCGTTTTAGTCGTTGTCCTCCTCTCGTGGCGCCCATTGGGGGCCTCTTTGGGGTCTCTTGGGGGGTCTCTTGGGTGCTCCTCGGGCCGTCTTGGGGCGCTCTTGTCCGTCTGGTGCCTTCGAAATCCATCCTCTGCGGGGGCTTCTCTGGACTATTGGGTTCCTCTGAAACCCTGCAAGGATTGTATTGATTGTACATGTGGGCCTCCTTTGGATGTTTTGGAGGCCACCTGGGCCATCTTGATGGCCACTGAAGCCGTCTTGAGGCCCTTGTTCGTGGCATCTTGGGCCGTCTTGCGGCAATCTTGAAGGGCTTTTGGCCGTCTGTGGCTGACGCAAGCCCAACAAGGTATGAGTGCACGACAATCATTAAGCACAACGAGACTTGTGAAACAACGCTTATTTTGGCCACGGGTCCGCTTGGGGAACTTTCTTGAAGTCTTCTTGGGCTGCCTTGGGGACATCTTAGGCCGTCTCCAGGCCATCCTGGACCGTTTTGGGCCATCTCGGGCTGAGGCATCCTCGATGTCCTCTTGGGTATACTGGGAACCTTGAAAACGGCAGAGGGGTGTCGGGGCGTTTTGCGAGGTTCGGGAGGGGGGGCAGTGCATGCAGTTGGGCGTGGGGAAACGGGGGGAGGTCTCTTAGAAGATTACGTCATCCCTACCAGGCAGCACTTGGCATTCTGCCCCGCCTCGTTGCTGGGGGCGGGGGCACGGCGGCGGATTCGGGCGTCTACTATTATCTCGCGGAGTGGATCACATTGGCGCTCCACGGTGTGGTCATGTATGGCAGGATCATCTGGTTCCTGGAGGACAAGGATGAGTTCCGCCAGCAGCACAAGACTGAGTTCAAGGATCTGTATACTCTGTGCGAGAGGTTCCAGTTCACGAGGGGATGCGCTGGCTTCGGCACGCTGTGGCTGTTCATGCTTACCACCCTTCGGGTTCGCAACTACTCGAGGCTCCGACTGATCTTTCTGACGCTCACCAATTCTGCTGGGGTGATGATTCAAGTATGTTTCGCCGTGCTGGTGAGCGCCACGCCGTTTGCCTTTGCTGGGTATTGGTTGTTCGGCGGCCGCGTCTACGCGTTCAGCAGCTGGCCAAGGGCATTCGGGTTCCTCTTCCGATCTGTTACCGAGGGCCTAGTCCCGCGTAACGACCGGCGATCGCTGGGACCCCCCAGTGTTTTGGAGGAGATGCGGCAGAACGGTCCCATCATGGCTGATGTCTTGAGCGTTAGTTGGGTGCTGGTGTGCAAGCTGTTGTTCTACGGAATGTTCGTCGCTTGCGGCGTGAATTCTTTCAGGACAGCGAAGACCGTGTGGGCCAGGAGGAGAGAGCAGCTGACGGAGCACGGCTCCTACAACTTGAGAGACTTCCTGTTCGCCGATTTTCTGAAGAAGTTCACCTTCCCCTCGCTGCGGGAGCCCGCGGAGCTGTACCAGAACGACATCCGGGTGTGGAAGAGCTGCCTGGAGCAGGTCCGCCGAGCCGACCTGGAGTCCCTCGTCGGTGAGGCGCTGCGCCGCGACCAGCGGGCCCTCGAGGTCCGGGACGTCATGCCGCTGTTCCGGAAGCGCGCCGACAGTGAGTTCGACACGTACCGCCGGGCATCGCTGTGGGTCATCGGGGGGGGGACGGCGCAAACATCAACTCGTTCGATGCTCGTTTTGGGGACCTTCATGGGGCCCACCGAATGGATGTTTTCGACTCGGGTTCGACTCAGATTCGACTCAGATTCGACTCAGATTCGACTCAGATTCGACTCAGGTTCGACTCAGGTTCGACTCAGGTTCGACTCAGGTTCGACGCAGCTTCGACGCACGAGTGGAGCGAGTGGCTCCAGGAAGGTCCCCAGAAGGAGCATCTAAAGCTCGGGGTTCTCCGCGCGGATCTCTCGGATCGGCGCCAGGCCCCACTCTGCGGCGCCTCGGACGCCGCATTTGGCGCGTCCCGCGCGCCAGGGAGGTCCCTGAGATCTGACGCCACGAACAAAACTAGTAAAAGTGCCTTGAGTATTCTTTGGTCCCGATCGATCTGTGCGAGGGCCCGAAAGTATGCAAAAACGCCCCACCTTGAACAATTGAAGCGAGAGAATTTCAGGTGGGGGGCCCAGCGCCGATCCAAGAAGTCCGCGCGGATCTCCGAAAGTTTATTGTTGCGCAGTTTTCCAGTATCCCCAGCGTCGTGATTTTTCATTGCAGAAAGGTCTTTACCCCTTCCTGGAGACCAGTTTTTGTCATCCCGCGTTACTTTTGACGGGTCCTGGGGCCCAAACGAGAAACTTCAGAGGCCGAAAATAGCGCACAACCGACCGCCGTGATTTCAGCGTGACGCGAGGGGGCTGTGGGCCAGGGCTGGACCAAAACGCTGTTTTGCTGGACCTCGGCTGTGTCTTGTTCTCCACTTTTGGCAGGGAGGTGCAGGAAGACAGGCAGAGCAAGACGAACAGCAGCACGAACACGACACGAGAAACAACGTTCGGGTCCAGCCCGGGTGGGCAGCACGTCTTTCTGCGGATGGATCGAGGGTTGCCAGGGAGAGAACGGCCCCGAGGAGGCGCCCTCGGCAGGTCCAGGAACACGGCCACCGCGGGCCAAAGGTGTGCGGGGAGGGCGCAGGTCTCGTCACCCCCACGCCTAAGGTGGGTTCAAGTCGGGCGTATCCCTCTACAGGAGGAAGATTCGAAAATAGTCAAAAATAGTCTTGGGACGATTTTCTGAGTATGTTTTTGTTGACTATGTTTTTGTTGAGTATGTTTTTGTTGACTATTCTTTATCTTTCGTCCACATGCCCGACTTAACGGTAGGTTCGTGTCGCGTTGTCGCGGGCGACCCAGAATCTATCGATGTGAAACGATTTAGACGTTTCGGAAACGGCCGATCGTTCAAGGTTGAAGGATCCCCGCGGTGTCAGGAACCAACGCTAGGGGCGACACGACTCGAACCTGCGGCATCGGAGACGAACAAGTGGGCGATGCAAACAAACGGGGTCCTCTGCGCCGACGTTTAACTATCCAAACAACTATTGTATCAGTATGTTTGTTTTTTTTGTGTGGTGCATGGTTTGACTATTTTTCTTTCGCCCGAAATCCGCCTGTAGGGGGGCATGCCCGACCTTAGCCGATCGGAGAAGAACAATTCGGCGATGCAAACAAACAGGGTCGTCTGCGCCGACATTGGCGCGCAAGCTCAAGTCGGGCACGTCCCTCTACAGGAGGACTATTCAACGATGGTAAAAGAATAGTCAGGGGACGTTTTTTTGTGTTTGATTGCTCTGGGGGTTTGTTACCCATATCCTAAGGATGGGGTTCTTGCTATTACGTGACCCGCGCGGAACGAACACCTCCCACCCTCAGGTCATGATTGTCTGACTCACTCACATGTGACTCGCTCATATTCAGACTCACTCATACTCAGATGCATCCGCTCTTAAACTCTTGATACTCAGTTTTCTCATGCTCGGGATCACTCGTATGCAGACCCAGTCACACTCCTGCTACTTCTGCGCTCAGACTCACACATGTTGTGAGGATGTCTCAGGCGAGGCGCTGGTGTCAGTACTCCCACGGGGGGGCGCCAGGGGGTATATCACAGGCCCGTTCGCGCCCAGATTGGGGGGATGTCTCAGGAGGTTTGCTTGTTTGGGTGCCCTGCATCCTTCTCTTTCGGAGCAGTTTCCAAGAATGTCTCAGGCGAGGTACTCGTTTCAGTACCCCCAAGGGGTGGCGCCAGGGGGTATATCACGGGCCCGTTCGCGCCCAGACTGGGGGGATGCCTCAGGAGGTTTGCTTGTTTGGGTGCCCAGCATCCTTCTCTTTCTGAGCAGTTTCCGAGGATCAATACTCCCAATGGGGGGCGCCAGGGGGTATATCATAGGCCCGTTCGCGCCCAGATTGGGGGGATGTCTCAGGAGGTTTGCCTGTTTTAGTGCTCAACATCCTTCTCTTTCGGAGCAGTTTCACAGGATGTCTCAGGCGAGGCGCTGGTTTCAGTACTCCCAAGGGGGGGCACCAGGGGGTATATCATAGGCCCGTGTTCGTCTTCACGGATGGATTTCCCTGACAGGTGTCCATCATAGGGAAAGGAGGAGAAAGAGGAGGAGGACATGGAGGAGGAGGAGGAGGACGGAAGGAGGAAGCAGCTATTTAAAGTCGTCGTAGTCGTCGGCGTCTCTCTCGGCCTCGTTTTCCACGTGGATTCGCGGACACTCGGATATTGCAAAGGACACTGTCTTCTACCGAAGTTTCCCATCACTATGACATGCACAGATGGGGGATCTCCGCGTCGAGCAATTTGGGTATTGTCTATGGCTCGTTGAAAGAATCCGCTTGTAGGGGGACATGCCCGACCTAAGCTCATCGGAGAAGAATCGATGCGATGCAAATAAACGGGGTGGTCTGCTGCGACACTGGCGCGCAAGCTGCCCGCGTAAGCTCGCGCGTAAGCGCCCTCGTTTCCAACATGGCCCTCCGCGCCGGCGGCCCACGTGAGCCACCGCGTCGGGGTCGCTGCGCCATCTCGCGCAAGACCCGTTTCCGATCGTCGCTCCAGTGAACCACCATGATCAGGGGGAAAAGAAACACACAGACACAATTAATCGTCGACTCCCAGGAAAATATGCGAAAATATGGGAAGTGGGGGGGAAGACAAAAACCCAGAAAATATGGGAAACTATGGGGAATATGTTTATTTGTGTGTATTTATTTGTGTGTCCTAATTTCCCTTTACATGAGTCTCTCGGAGCCCCCTGCGCATTTCGTTGGATCTGCTCTGAACCCTTCCGGGGAGCGCGCCACCAGCGGGGACCCCCCCCAGCGTGGGCGCGGGAAGCGAGCCGCCAGGCGGGCTGCCGTGCGGATCCAAGAAGTTCGCGCGACGCTCACCGAAATTGTGCAGACGCAGTTTCTGCGTGCGTGCTGCGATCTCTGCTTTCCCAGTGGAGCTGTTGGGTCCTGACGCGGCGGTTGAATTGTTAGCTGAAGCAGAGGGTCCTGGTCTGGAGCACGAGGCGAAACACGATGCAGATATGTTGCCCGTTTCTGGAGCCCGAACAAGGGCGCGCTCCAGGTAAAAAAGTGTGGGGTCCTTCGATTTGCCCCCCCCCAGAATTTTTCGGAGGTTGATCGACCTCCTACCCTGACGCGTCGATTGAGGAATTGGCCGTTGTCCGTTCGCGAGAGGGCGTCGCGGCCGTCATTTTTGCGTGCCCAGGTCCGCCGGTTTCGGTCCCAGGCCGTTTTCACGAAGGGGAGGCTTACTAAAGGAAGGTTTGTCCACCGCCGAGTCGGGAGCTCTGTGTTGGGCGGCGATCAGTGGGGGAGGACGCGAGGGCTGCAGAAGAGGAGCCCTTGAGGGCCCGAGAAGTGCACCTCTCTTCCGCCCCCATTGATCACCACCCTCACCAAGCGACGCCCAAGGAGCGGTTTGTCCACCGCCGAATGTTTTGCTTTGTAACATCTACTCTCAGGAGGGGAAAACACACACACAAAGAGACACAATGAATCGTCGATCCCCAGGAAAATATGGAAGGAAGTGGGGGGGAAGACAGAAACCAGAAAATAGATGAAAATATGGGGAATCCTTTTATTTAATCGCTTCGCTCATGCCGCCGGCCCTGGAGCCCTCTTTAGGGCCTCTTGGGGGCCTCTTGGGGACCTCTTGGGAGTCTCTTGGGGCTCCTTGGCGGCGTTTTGGAGGCCCCCAGGGCCTCTTGGGGGGCTCTTGGGGGTAGTCGATTGCGGCTCCCCCCTCGGAGGCCACGATCCTCGTGAGGGGTGTCGAAAAATACCCTCCCCTGAAGTGGTCTGGTGGCTTCTCACGGGCTTCTCTCGGGACCTTGCCGGGGTACTTTTCGTCCGGGGGCCCCCAGGGGCCGCTCCGCGCGCGCGAACTAGAAATATTGTTAACAAGTTACCTGAGATCTCAGCACGCCTCTGGCCCGTTGGGCCGGCGAATTTGTGTGTGTATATAGTTGTGTGTCCTGGGGCCCCTTCGTACTCCTTCCAGGTCCGGGGCCTGCGCTCCGGGCTGCAGGACGCGGCCGGCTGGGAGCGCGCGCCCAGCGCCGGCGCGGAGCTGCGGGCGCTGCTCCGCAGGGTGGCGAGCCTCGAGGAGCGGGGGCCGGAAGTCAGGGGGAGAAAAGCACACAGACACAATGAATCGGCGATCCCCAGGAAAAGATGGGAAAATATGGGAAGTGGGGGGGAACACGAAAACCCAGAAAATATGGGAAAATATGGGGGGTATTTTTATTTGTGTGTATTTATTTGTGTGTTCCAGTTCCCCTTCAAGAAGGCGCGGCGCGAGCACACGCCCAGACCTCGCAGCGCAGCCCGAGATCCCCGGAGCAGCAGAAACCAAGAGGAACAGGTGGTCGTTGTTTTATATGAACTGTTTTGCCGATCGGCGCGGTCCTTCCCTGACCTTCCAGGAGGGCTTAAAAAATAGCACCAGGACGTCGACGTCTTAATTCCTGTCGAGGTTTGAGGCAGTCCAGGTAGGTCTATAGGTCTGGAGCGGTATCTTCTGGCACTCTGGAAGGTCTGGGTTCGCCCCCCCCCCCCCCCCCCCCCAAGGAGTAGATCTTGGCTGGTTTGGGTGTCCGTTCCCAGCAGGTGGAGCCTGCCCCATTAGGAAGCACTGTCGCAAGCAGTCGCACTCAGCAGAGGTCCAGAACCAGAACCCCGCCCCCCCTCCCCCGCCCTTCGCCCGATGTCGAAACGCCGAATAAGCAAACGCTCACCACACGGGGGCACATAGAATCACACCAATCAGAACACATGGTGCTTTTGTTCCGCGTCTCCTTGCGCCGCATCTTCTTGCGCGTTGTTCCCGCGCCCCCCTGTGCGTTTTTTTCTGGTACCCTTGCGTCGCCGTTGCTTCGAGGCGGGCGCCTTCGCATAAGTTCGGGCCCGCAGGTCCTCGCAGATCGATCCACCTCGAGCAGTACTGCAGAAAGACGGGGTCTGGGGCTCGTGGTCGTGATGTGTTTGTGATGTTGCATGTTCTCCGCGTCCCCGGCTCTCAGGGCACATCCAGATTTCCCACGTGTTGACAATCAAGACGGAGGTTTTGCGTCGCATTCGGCGTGGTAATCATGGCGAGAGTTTTGTTGTTGCTGTTGCTCTCTGCCTCCATGATCCATGAGCCCTTACTGGGCCCCAGAACCGTCAAATACTGTTCAGGATGAAAAGCAGAACCAGGGGAATGGGTCGCGACTTGTCGGGATCGACGTTGCGAAAAAAACAACCCCACCAACGTGTTGAAACAATCCAGACATAGGCTTTGTCGTCGTTTCTGGCGTCTGGGGGCCCTCGCCGAGCCCCGGGGCCGTCAGAAAAGATCCGTGGCGAAGCAACCGTCCCCGGGAAGCGGTCCAGAGCTCCGAGGGCCCCGTGTTGGACACGTCAGGACGTCGGAGGTCTGGACACACAGCCACCCACACACGTGAGAACACCTTTCGACTGCACCGCGCCGATCTCGCAGGCCGTCGCTGGGCCTCCCTCCCCGCACCGCCTCCCCCGTGAACGGGGGCTGTTTAAGAGTGGTCTCGGGCGCGGGCTTCAGGAGAAGTCGCTCGAGGCCGTGCCGGAGCGCCCTCTCACAGAGAGCGCCCTGCACCCTGCACGGAGCGATCTGGAGCCCGCCGCCTCGGCGCCTCGGTGTGCGCCTTCTAGGGCCGCCGGATCTCAGAGGCCTCCTCCTCCGCCACCTCCTCCTCCGCCTCCTCCTGCGCCTTCTCCTCCGCCTCCTCCTCCGCCTCCTCCGCCTCCTCCTCCGCCTCCTTCTCCTCCTCCGCCTCCTCCTCCTCCTTTGCCTCCTCCTCCGCCTCCTCCGCCTTCTCCTCCTCCGCCGTCTCCTCCTCCTCCGCCTCCTCCTCTTCCTCCTTCTGCGGAGCGCCCGAGGGTGAGGAAGCACAACGCTCCTCGGAAGTCGGTGGGGCGTCTTGGAAGCCCTCGCGCCTTCCTTGAGAGCCTGGCGTTGCAATGTTTGCTTCACAGCGGACGTTCTCGTCCGGCTTCAGGCCCCGGGACCTTTGCATATCGATCGGGCTCGAACAATGCAGCAGAAACAACGGGTCCGGGGCTCCGGGCGTGTGTTTTTTTTTGTACGATGTTGTCACTGTTTGGCAACATCGGATCTTTGGCAATCGCCCGGTTTCGGGCCCCGGGACCCTCGTAGATCGATCCGGCTCGAAAAATGCCGTAGAAAGATGGGTTCTAGGGCTCCGGGCTTGTTTTTGTTGCACGATGGTGCAATTTCTTGGCAACGGCGGATCTTTGGCATCACGGATCTCAGGGTTCTGCGGGCGTCGTCTGCGTCTTCGGAGAAGGCTCGCCGCCGAGAGAGCTGTCCCCCAGCCGAGCCCGTCCCGGGTCCTGGCACGGTCTCGTGGCCCAGCGCCAGCCCGGAAGGGAGCTCCGCGAGGCCGCCCGCGACCCAGGCGCCCGAGGTCGTGAGTCGTGAGCTTCTCATGGCGAGGGCCCCCAGAGGTCCGTCGTTGCGTGGCAGCCGACCTCGAAGCAAAGCTGCGGGTCGGTTGGCGAGGTCGGCGCGGCGATCTCGGCAGCCACGCCGGGGGCTGGTTTTTTTTGTCGAGGGGTGGCCAGGCCCCCTCCCAGCTCCCCACCCCCGCTCTGCGATGCAGACGCGGCTCACAGAGCTCACGCTTCAGCGACAGAGAGTTGTCAACGTGTGTCCAGCATGGGCAGCCTGTTTCTTCGCTAGGGAACAAGGATCACGCAACCAGTGTGAATCCTTCCTGGGAACACGCTTTTTCATCCGGAGTCGTTGTTGTACGGCCCCGAGGCCTGGCGAGGGGCCCCAGAGGCCGAAAACGACAAACAAATGATGTCTGGAATTTTCCCTCACAGTCTCACAGCGCTTCGCTGGAGGAAACGAGTCGTGTAAAAGAGAAAACAACCTCAGTTCCACAAGTGGGGACAGGGCCCGAGGCCGCTTTCCCATACTGCATGGTCTGGCAGCCGCTTCGCCTGAGACGTCCTCACAATGGACTCGAGCATCGTGCTCTCGCTTCAAGTGGACGGGGCTCGGACGAGACAAAACCGTTCCAGAGCGTTCCGCAACGCTCTCAGAGCGCTCCGCAACGCTCTGGGAAGGCCGCGGCGCCCGAGACATCCCCCAGAGCCGCCAGATGTCAGAGATTCTCGATTTATCCTCACCCGAACTGTATCCTCGTCATGGCTTCGTCTTACTCTGTGCCGGCTACATGTTTGTTCCGGACGGTTCCGATCCCCTGCGCAAGTAACGCGACGGTGTACAGGACCGTGCGCTTCCCAGGAATCCCTCGGCATACTCAGGAGTGCGCGCTCTCAGCAGTCGACCGCCTGCTCATCGACTGGCCTCTTCACCTCTGCTGCTATTGGGGTGCGCTGCTGCGGTGATCTCAAGTCGGGGGTGGGCGGAACCCCCACCCTGGCACGTCGATGAGTGAAGTGTCCGTTTTCGGTTCTTGAGAGGGCGCCGCGGCCGTTATTTTCCAGGCTTGCACCCGCCAGGTTCGGGCCCGAGGTCGTTTTCACTAAACCACGTTTTACTAAAGGGGGTTCTGTTCATCCCCGATCAAGACGTGGCATGCGCCCGAGGGGCCGGAAGACTCGGGCCCGTGCCGCCTCCCGATCCGTGCAGGAGGAGGCTATGGGCCTCACGACGTCGTCGTCGTCCGCCGTCGGCGTGGTCGTCGTGGTCGTCGTCGTCTTCGTGCCGTGCCGCCTCCCTACTGCTGCCGAAAACTGGACAGCTGCAGTCAGCAAGGGGTCCGTGCTCGAACGCCTAGCTGAAGGGGCCCAAGGATACACTTAAATAGGTGCGCGCGAACCCCAGGACTCCCCGTATGTCTCCTACCTGTTCGTGATTCTCGTGTCTTCCCCCCCCACCTCCCATATTCTCCCAGGATTTCTGGGGAATCGAGGATTCCTTGTGCCCGTGCGTTTCGCTTCCCCCTCCTGCAGGAGGAGACCATGGGCCTCACGCTCCAGCTGCACGGCAACGTGGCGGAGGTGCCGCTCGCAGCCCCCATCTGACAAAGCGGCGGGGGCGCGCCCCGGCCCCTTGCGCCGCGCGCGTTCGCCCCACCTGCCCCTCCTCATCCTCCTCCTTCCTCCTCCTCCTCCTCATCCTTTATCTCTTCCTTGTCTCCTCGATCCCCCCACCTGCGCCTCCTCCTTCTGTCCCCACATGTGCAAGAGCCAGAACCTCCTCCTCCAGCTCGCCCCCCTCGTTCTGCTCCGAAGAATCGGGGGCGGCCAAGAGGGGGGTGCTGACTAAGAGGGGGGTGGAGATCACGGCGGGGGCCACGAGATCTCCGCAGATTCTCATGGCGCCTCTTTTTTCTTTCATTGCGTCCCTGGCCCCCCCTTGGGCCGCCCACATGCCACCGGCCATGATTTGCGCCCCCCCTCTTGGACGCCCCCCTCTTGGCCGCCCCCTCATTCAAACAGTATGAGTCGACGAAGGAACTTTCGCATAAGCATAAACTTTCCAATGGGAGGCCACATGCGAATCCTACCCCCCGCCACCCCACGATTTCTGAGGGGGGAGATGGGGTGCACTTCGTTCGGGACCTCCCGAGCGAAGTGGACCCCATCTCCCCCTTCGCCCTCCTCCTCCTTCATCTTGCCCCCCTCGTTCTGCTCCGAAGACCTGCATCCGAGTAGGGGCTCGGCTGCAGAATTGATTTACCCCAAACTTGATGTCCTCGTCGAGCCTGCAAAAACTACGCGGGAATCTCTAGAAAGCATTCCACGTATGTTTCGATCAGGTGCTCGGCTACAGCATTGATTCATACCAGAAATTGATTTTCTCGTCGAGTACACAAGAATACGTGGACCTATCCAGAAGCATTCGGCGTATGTTTGTCATACGCTCGAGGCTGGGTCAGGTTTCGGTTCGGGATTTGCCTGGTTAGGGGGGGGGGACTTGTATGGATGAATGCACGCCTCGCAACCCTGAGATCCGACGTTGCAAACAAAAATGCAACATCAGAACAAACATCACGACTGGAGCCAAGGACCCCATCGGTCTGCGCCACTTTTTTCGAGCCAGTTTCGTCGTTCCGTCACATGGCTCCAGGGCCAGGAGCCGGGCGAAGACGTTCGGTGTGGAACAGAATTGTTCAATACTCGTTTTGGGAACCTTCCTGAGGACACATAACGGATCTGCTCAACTCTAGTTCGATTCAAGTTCGACTCAAGTTCGATTCAAGTTCGATTCAAGTTCGACTCAAGTTCGATTCAGGGTCGAGCCAAATCTTCGGACGTTCGACGCAGCTTCGACGCAAGAGTGAAGCGAGTGTCTCAAGGAAGGTCCCCAGAATGAGCATCCAAGCATTGCAACACCAGGATCTCGAGGAATCGACTACACGTAAGAGTGACCCTTCGCCGGAGTGACCTCTGGTGCGGGCCCTCTGGGGCCCCCCGATCGCCGAGCGCGATGCAGTCACAGTCGCGTCTGGCGCGCCCGTGTCCGGTCGCCCCGCGGCCCGCAAGGAGCCGCGCACCAGCGGTCACTCTGACAGCGTGGACGCGCCGCGAGAAGCCATCCGCTTTTCGTGAGGGCGCCCAGGGTGTCTGCGCTCCCCAGAGGCTGCGCGGGGCCTTCCCCGCGGCCTCGAAAGAGAAGCGGTTGCGTCCAGTGTGCTCTGGGTGTCCTCCCCGCGCAGGTGCTCGGCGTTGGGCGTCTCTTGCGAGGGCCTCCTGGGAGCCGCGTCCGCACCGTACGCCCAGGGTCACTGTTTTTCTAGGCCTCCCAGCGGGGGGCGGAGCAGATGGGGTCGGAGGATTTGGACGCGTCGCCGATGCATCGGCGACGCGCTAGACCCTCCGACCCCATCTGCTCCGACCCCATCATCTGAGAGGCCTCTACTCAGGAGCGAGAGAAGGTCGTACACGTACATGAATCCACGCTGGTTTCGAGAGTTCGCCTTGCGCGGATGTTCGTATCAGGCGGCCGGTCTCGCGGGTCAGGGGGCCGCTTTCATGTACACAGCTGGGCGCGTACGTCCTGTGTGGGCTCCCTCTACTCTTGCGTGCAGCCGAGGGAAGGGGTCCGTGGTCCAGCGCGCAGCCTCTTGCCGCCCTCGCCCAGCCGCGGGCGCCCCCCTCTCCCCTGGAACAGCCGGGGGGGGGGGGGCAGGCGCCCGCTAGAGCCGCCGCCGGCCTCTCCGCGGCGAGCGGCGCCCCGACCCCAGCCCCCCCGCGGGGGTGCAGGCCCGCGCCCCCCGCGCGGGGGGCCGCGTCTCGTCGAGCGGAGCGCCGAAAATCGGGAAGAAGGGCCTCGAGGACGACGGAGACGACGACGACGACGACCAGACGACGTCGTCCAGACGACGACGACCAGACGACGACGACGACGACGACGACGACCACGACGACGACGACGACGACGACGACGACGACGACGACGACGACGAGCGCCAGCCGAAGCGGAGCAGGCCGCGGCCATGTGATCGTTTTCTTATTCGAGGCTTAACCAATCGGCGCGGGACCTCGGGTTATCTTGGGCCGCGTTGGGGGGCCTCGAGGGCCGTCCAGAGCACTCGGAGGACCGACAAGGCGAGGATACCATGATGCGCCAGACAGCTATCGTTTTCTGATTCGTTGTTTTGCCGATCGGCGCGGGCCCTTGCACCCCCCCCTCCCCGCCGCCCATGGAGTAGATATTGGCTGTGCTTGACGCCTCTTTCGAGCAGGTGGAGTATCCCCCATCGGACTCACTGTTGCAAACAGTCGCGTGAAGGTCCCGAGCCAGACCCCCCCTGCCGCCCAATGTCGAAACGCCGAATAAGAAAACGGCCACAATGGGTACGATGCCCAACAGCAATTCCTGCTCATTTTGAGCAGGGCTCGCTGTCCGCGCCGCCGCGGACGTGGTTCACCGAAGGCAGAAAGCCGCCCGCCCAACGGCGGCCGCTGGCGGTTCTGGACAGCATGTGCTGTTGGGCACTATACCCATGTTTGTCGTACCCATTTCGGGCGTCCAATGGCACCTCCTCCTCCGAAGTAATTGGACAGCAGATGGCACGGACATCAGCACTCGGAGGTCCGCTTGGACTTCCCAGGTCGGCGCTGGAGCCCCCTCGCGGCGTCTCCCGCGCCGATCCAGGGAATCTGCGCGGACCTCCGAGAGCTCATGGTTGTGGCTCTTGCTGATCCTTCTCACGGAGGCCCGAGCATCCAGCCCGCCAGACTTCGGAGCAGATCGAGACAGCGGTCGCTGGCCTTCGGGGGGCCCCTCGTCGCCACGGCAGGACGCAGCTCGCGAGACTGGTGCGCCTGGACCTCGGGAGGGTTCCGAAGGCCGACTCCGAGTTTCTGCTGCCTTCCACTCACCATCATCCGACGAATGAGGTCGGATTGGATGGGGTGGGTCATACCAGATCGCCGCTGCATCGGCGATTGGGCTCGATGCGGAGCCCGATGTTCCATCCTGACAAATGGCCGATGCATCGGCGATGCGGCGGGATCCTGCGGCTCCATTTGTGTAGGTGCCATGTTGTGGGCGGCCTCCAAGCAACAACGAGCTGCGCAAACGTGAGCTTTCGAACGTCCGCGCGGATTTTTTGATCTGCGGTTGACCTCCCTGGACAGCGCCTCCGGCGCCGCCCCTGGCGCGCTCCGCGCACCAGGGAAGGATGTCCAGCGCAGATCCAAGGTATCCGTGCGGACTTCTGAACTTTTGTGTTTTTGCAGTGTCCATCCCCTAGAAGAGTGACCATCCGAAGGGTTGTCCGCTGCCGCTAGGCTCCCAGGCTGAGCCATACGGGAGCATTTTACATTTAGGGTGGCCAGGGGTCATCTTGGGCAGTGTTGGGTTTGTCTTGAGGCTTCTGGGTCTGCCTCTGCGGGGTCTCTGGTCTCCCACTTCTCAGCGGTTCGTGCTGATCCCCACCGTATAGTGCCATGTACTGCTACAGTCGAACCGAGGTATAAGGTCGAGGTCGGTTCGGAGAGGGTGCCCTAGTTTGAAGAAGGAAAAACGGCTTAAACATAAATTGTCGGAGTCCCGTGCGGGTTTCTTGGATCTGCGCTGGAGCCCCCCGGCGGCGCCTCCAGCGCCGCCGGGTGGTTCAGCGCAGATCACCGTTGTTGTTCCTCTACTAGTGCTCTTCATGCTTGTTGGATGTTCTTGTGCATCCTGGGGAGGATGCCCTTGGATTTTCTGTTTGTTTTGGCCGTCGGAGTGTCTCATGTTCTTGAGTGATGTTCTACTGGCCTAGGTGTGACTGTAATTGAAGTGAACTTGCCTGGCCTGTGCCCGTGGTCCCCCAGCTACAGGAACCGCGGGCCCCACCCAAGACGCCCTCTCAAAGCATTCGGGCGTCGTCCCTTCTCCTCCTCCTCCTCATCCTGTTGTCGCCGGTGTTTGTTCTTGACTCATGGCCTCCCTCAGGTCTTTCAGCAGCTGGTTGGTGCGCGTGACAGCCGTTTATTATTGGCAACAGCGTTGCCCACTCTACTTCCTCCAATAATCGGACGGGGCTGGGACGATGAGAAATCCGTTTCAGACCGTGCTGGAACGCTCCCAGAGCGTTCCCAGACGCTGTGAGAAGGCCGCGGCGCCCGAGACATCGTCCAGAGCTGCCGGATCTCAGTCTCAGAGGTTCTTCATTTTTCCTTGCACAACATTATTGTCTGCCTGGCTTCGTCTTCTTTACGACATCCCATACACTCGGATGCCAAGTTGCGGGCGGCCTCCACAGAACAGCATACTGCACGCGCGCAAGCCTGAAAATGGTGTTTCGGTACGATGTCCGAATGTCAAGGCGCAACAGTCATGTTGATTCGCGGTGTTGATGCCTCAGTAATGGCGTTCTGGCACGATTCAGGATCGTCATGACGCAACAATAATGGTGATTCGCGGCGTCGAAGTCCCAGGAATGGCGTTCTGGCCTAAATCCGGCTTTTCAAATGGTTGTCTTCCAACGGGGCATGACGTTCAGTGAATATGGGTCCGTGTAGTAGCCAACGAAGAGGGAATTTGAAGGGAGGGTTTATTGCAGTATCGTTGACGAGTCTTGGGTTTGCATCAGTCCTTCCCCTCCTGCTCCTCACTCCTCCCTCCTCCCTCATCCTCCTCCTCCTCCTCCCTCCTCCTCCTCCTCCCTCATCCCTCATCCCTTCTCCCTCCTCCCTCCTCCCTTCTCCCTCCTTCCCCCTCAATTCTCCCTCCTCCCTCCCTCCTCCCTCCCTCCATCCTCCCTCCCTTCTCTGCTCAGGCCCGCACCGCCGCTTCCCCCCCCGCCCCGCCCGCCGCAAGGAGCCGGCGACCTGGTTCGCGCCGGACGCGGCCGCGTCGTCCGTGTACGTCCCCTTCTTCAGCTCGGTGCTCGCCACAGGCGCCTCGACCGCCTGCGTCGGGCCGGCCCCTCCGCACCTCCGCGAGGGCGAAGAACAGCACAAATCGCGGTTGCGGCGCGAGGCCTCTCTCTGGTGTTGGGGGGAGGGGGGGGGCACGGGCACGTGTAGCGGGCAGCACATGCAGCAGCGGCTGGAAGGGAAGCAGTCCCTCCTCCTCCTCCTCCTCCTCCTCCTCCTCCTCCTCCACCTCCACTTCAATTTCCTCCTCCTCCTCCTCCTCCTCCTCCTCCTCCTCCTCCTCCTCATCATCGTCGTCGTCGTCGTCGTCGTCGTCGTCGTCGTCGTCGTCGTCGTCGTCGTCGTCGTCGTCGTCGTCGTCATCATCATCATCATCATCATCATCATCATCATCATCATCATCATCATCATCATCATCATCATCATCATCATCTCTTCTCTTCCCTCCTCCTCCTCCGCCCTCGCCCTCCTTTCTCCTCTCTTCGGCCTCGCCCCCTGCTTTCCTGCCCTCGAGGGGAAACAAAAACAAACACGCAGCATTGTGAGGCAAGTGTTGGAGGCCTCGCGCGGCAACTCGAGACCCGGGCTCACTCCGGAATTATTGCACCGGCTTCCCGTCGGTGGTTCGCCGGACTTACGCTGCACTCGCGCCGGGACCTCGCCGCGCGAGCGGCGTCCGATCTTTGACGGGGCCCACGTGTGGACTCGACGGTGCAACTGTGGCGCGCGGCGCGAGGCCTCCAGGATCTCCCCCTCGCGGCGCGAGCAATGAACAGCGAACCGTCGGACTGGGACTCCACTTCCAGCCTCGGCGGCACTCGCGGTGACTTACAAGCGGGCTCATGCTGATGCGGATCTGTCAGGCTTGCAGCCGTTGGCGAAACGCGGGCCCGCATCCGCGGCCACGCGGGCCGAGCCCCCGGGCCGCACCCCCGCGGGTGCGGGGCGTTCTTCCGCGGATGCCTTTCGCGGAACGCATCTGGGCGACCGCGCACCCGCAGGAGCGCGCCCCGGAAAAATCCAGGCCGCGTGGGCGCGGGTGCGATCATCTGTGCCGCTCCGTGGCCATTGGCGCCCCGCGGCGCCCTGCGTCGTTTCTCTCTGAGGCCTCCCAGATGGGTTCCGAGCTGATGGGGTCGGGCGCTCGGCGATGCATTTAACGTGGAGGACGCACACGCGGTCGACCTGGAGCTGAACAGCTCGCGCTCGCGCTCGGAGGGCTCCAGCGCGCTAGGCTTTTCGGATGGGGTCCGAGTAGATTGAAGTCGGGCGTGTCCTTCTACAGGAAGATGATTCAAAAGTAGTTCAAAAATGGTGTGGGGACCATTTTCTGATCAATGGTCGACCTTTTGGGGGTACGTTTGGAGTATGTCAATTTCTGTCGCCCAGAATCCACCTGTAGGGGACTCGCCCGACCCAAGAGTAGATGGCGTCGGGCGATCGCGCCGCATCGGCGATGCACCGTCGACGCGGCTCGAGGCGGAGCCCGATTTCCTCCACGCCGGCGTCGCCGATGCGTCGCCGCCCTCGGCCCTCCGACCCCCTCCGCTCGGACCCAGCCAGGAGGCCTCTGCTCGAGGCAGGCTCGAAGCGAGGAGGCCACGATTCGATTACACGGCCGCTTACGCGACCTCAGATCCTGGCGTCGCACTCTTGGTCGAGCCGGGCGTTTTCGCATGCCTTGGGGCACGGTGGCCGTCGCAGGTCGACCCGGCTCGAGACATGCCGCAGAAGGACGGGGTCGAGGGTTCTGGTCCGATTCGTGCTGTGACGCTGCACTCTTGGTTTGCAAGTTCGGATCGCAGCACCCAGTTTCCTCTGGCATCGGCGTCCCCCCAACATACTTACACTATGTGTTCGTCGCCCCACCAGTGGCGACGCGCGCACCGAGAAATCTACGTATAGCATATGCGTCGTGGCGGGCGCTTTCTGGCCACACCGCTCGAGAGACGATATATTACAAAATGGGTATACTATATGTTCGGGTCGGACGCTCGCCTCCAAAGCGGACATATAGTATTCGATGTCTCTGTGCGTCCCATGGCAGTCTCGGCAGAGGGCCTCGTGCAGGCGCCAGCTCGATACGGAGAGCGAGGGAGACGGAGAGAGCGAAGGCGCCCGCGCAGTCCGGTGCGGGGTCCGCCGAGTGTTGGGGTCGTCCGGCGGGGCGTGCTCGGGCCAGCACCTCTTTGCACTGCACGGGCGCTGTTCGAAGAAGAAACGCCATGCAGTCGGGGCGCTGAAGAAGGTACTCTTTGTGTTTGGGAGGGGATATGTGTTCCTTAATTGTTTTACTGTTTGCCCTAGGTTTGCCTTCGGTTTTCCATCGGAAGAGAAAAGGGGCCTCGTTCCTTATTTCTCGTTCCTTAGGTCAACGCCCCGACTGTGAACAGAATCTTTTGACGCTCCGCGCGGATTTCTTGGAAAGGCGCCGAGCAGGATCCTGCAGGGTCCTGCAAGGCCTCACTGGCCCGGGTCTGGATCGACCCAGGTCAGAAGATCCCGGTCCAGCGAGGTCAGGGCTTCCTGCTAGAGCTCTGCGCATCTGCGGTCCCCGCACCCCGCAGCAGTCGCTCGGGTTTCCTGCGGGAGTGTGATGTGTTCTTTGCGCTGGGCTGTGGGCGCTTCATCTGTTCGGATCCTCCGCTTGGAGCTCCCCGCAGGTGGCGACTTTGAGTCCGATCTGTACGGCCAGGGCTCCATGAAGGAGTTCAGCTTCAAGAGCGGCAGTACCAGGAACGCGTGGTGGGCCTTCGACTTTGTGGCCAATTGGATGGAGCTGTCTTACAACAACATGTCGAAGCAGTACGTCTATCCGAAGGTGCAGCAGGTGCAGGGTGAGGTGATCGAGCAGGTGGCTGCGGCGGTGGCCTCTGGCGCAGACCTCGCCAAGGTGTCGAAGGACATCCAGCGGCGGGTCGTGGATGAGTGGTGGGAGCTCGCAGGCATTCGAGTAAGAGAATCACCCGAGACGTACCCAATCCTTTCTCCACGCGAGGCGAATACTCGCATGAACGGTCCATACAACAGAACACATCGCCAGATATGCACCGTCAGCGCTACCCTTATCTCCGCCGTGCCCCCCAGCAACCAGCGACAGTGGCGACAGTTTCGCAGTTCGCAGTCTCCCAAGTAACCGCGAGGTCTCGTCTGGGTGCGCGTGGCCCCCCAATCCGCTGGACCTCCCAGGAGCCCACGAAAGCAGCGACAGTTGCGCAGTTTGCAGCTACCCAGCTACGACCGCGGCGACAGTTGTGTAGTTCGCAGCTGCCCAGGGAGTAGCGAGGTCTCAACTTGGTGCGCGTGGCCCCCGACCCCGCTGGACCTCCCAGGAGCCCACGAACGCGGCGACAGTTGCGAAGCTCGCAGCTACTCCGGGAGAAGCGAGGTCTCGTCGGGGTGCACGTGGCCCCCGACAACGCTGGATCTCCAAGGAGCCCACGAAAGCGGCGACAGTTGCGCAGACCGCAGCCAACCAGGAAGTAGCGAGGTCTCGTCTGGGTTCGCGTCGCCCACGACTCCGCTGGACCGACCTCCAAGAAGCCCGCGAAAGTGGCGACAGTTGCTCAGTTTGCAGCTCCCCAGGGAGACGTGAGGTCTTGGCTGGGTGCGCGTACTCCCTGATTCCGCCGAAAGTGGCGACGGTTGCGCAGTTAGCAGTCCCTTAGGGAGCGGCGAGGTCTCAGCTGGGTGTGCGTACTCCCCTACTCCGCCGTGACTCCCAGGACCCCACGAACGTGGCGACAGTTGCGCAGTTCGCAGCTACCCAGAGATCTGCGAGGTCTCACCTGGGTGCGCGTGCTCCCCTACTCCTCTGGACCTCGCAGGAGCCCACAACAATGGCGACAATTGTGCAGTTTGCCGCCGCTCGGGGAGCAGCGCAGGAGAAGGCAGGAGGAGGTGGGAGAGGAGGTGGGGACAACAGTGCTCCATTCACCGCGAGAACCCAACACAGGAGGGTTGGGAAACATACGCACGCATAGATTTCGGAGCTCCGCGCGGACTTCTCGGATCGGCGTTGGGGCCCATCTTCCAGCGCCTACGGCGCCGCCCTTGGCGCGCTCCGCGTGCCAGGAGGCGGGGCTCCCGCGCAGATCCGAGAAGCCTGGCGGACCTCCGACTCCCGTGAGGCATGCTCATCGTGCGCTACAACGACGGCTTCTTCAACTTCCCCGAGTCCGCCCCCCACAAGATTGCCACGATCGGCTACCCGCCCTTCTGGCTGGAGATGCTCGGCTACTCCAACCAGAACTGGGCCCCCACCTGGGTGCAGCACTCGTGCTCGGTGCCGTCGCTGCTGCCGGAGGAGCAGCGGGCACTGGCGAGCCCCAGCGCCAGCCTGCGGGAGCTCGAGGGCCACTTTGGCCCCGCGTGCCCCGCGGAGCACGCCACGCTTGCCGCGCCCGCCCTCCCGCGGGGGGGCACCGGCGTCGGGACCGCGCTGCTCTGCGCGGCGGCCGTGCTCGCCAGCAGCCTGGTCAGCTTCCGGGCCGGCCAGCGGAGCGCCCGGCGGCGGGTGGAGGAGGAGCAGTGCGGCTACACGAGGATCCACGCGTAGGAGATCGGGTCTCCTCTCAGAGGAGGGAAAAGGTGCCCGTACCGCTACCCTTCTCCGGTTTCCCCCTGTGGGCCTCTGGGGAGGCGCCCTCTTCGCCACCGCTGGCTTCGCCTCGAAATCCTGGTCAGAACGCACCCAGGGAGAGAACCGGGGAGTAGCGGAATCGGCACGTGTTGGTTTCCCCGTCCCTTGCGGCCAGGAGAAGCACAGTTTTGAGCTGCCAGAGCGGGCGTTCTCGTGCAATGCGCACTCTATCCCCAGACCCCCAGCGTCGCGATGCTTCAATATCGTGGACCCCCAGAGGTCTGGAACACTTCCCCGGCTCATTCTGACTAGTTTTAGGTTGGGCATGTCCCCCTACAGGGGGATTGTGGACGAAAAATCAAAAATACTCAAACACAATATTAAACAGAGGGGGGGCCAAAAAACGAAGCATCGTCCCCAATATGTTTGACAGTTCTTCCTGTAGAGGGACATGCCCGACTTCCCCCCAGAGGTCCGGAACACTTCCCGGGCTCATCCTGACCAGCTCTTTACCATTCCCGATGCCCCGAGGCAGAACATAACGAGAAACCGTCCGTCGCCAGCTCTTCACGACGCGAGGGTTCTGGGCCCGTGGGCCGACCCCGGCGCCAGCGCGGCAGTTCTCGCTCCCATCGAGGAAGGCCCACACGGCGTAAACGCACACTTGCGGAGCTCTGCGCGGACTTCTTGGATCGGCGCTGGGCCCACCTGGCGCCACCTCCGGCGCCGCACCTGGCGCGCGGAGCGCGCCAGGGAGGAGGGCCCAGCGCCGATCCTAGAAAACCGTGCGGACCTCCTGAAGTTTGTGTGTACGCAGTTTCTCCTCCTTCTCCTTCGATTCATGTGGGCGCGCCTCGCACAAACGCGTAGCGCCCCGGCCGTGCCAAAGCTTCCCTGCAGACGAGCTAGGCCGCGTGGGCCGCTGCAGGAGGCTCTCTTGTTTCTATTGTTTTGCTCGAGCTGCCGTTCAGAACGGCAGCTCGTTACAGATTCCCAGGGCCCTTCTGCTCTCAATGATGTTTTTCCCTCATCCACCCCTCTTTTGACAGATTCAAGGGGACTGCGCCCTTCCGCCGACCCCCAGAGGGAGTGAGAGCTTGCGACGACCATGCAAGGCATGCAGTGAGTCAGGAGACTCTTGGATGCATACGAGGGGCTCTTGGGAAGCTTCTCGGTTCAGGACCCCCCGAGGGGCCTTTCAGGGCCCCTGAAGGGGCCTTGCAGGGCCCCAAAGGGGGCCTTCCGGGCCCGACAAGTGCCCCTTCCTTCCCCCAATGTATCGCTCCCTTCTTGAAGCGACGCCCAACTCAGACGCCCCGAGTCTTCTCGATGCGCGGGGCTGTGGAGACGTCCACCCCGTCTTCTCGCAGGTATGGCATGGCGGGGGTCGACCCTCGCGACGAGGGCCACGACGGGCAGGCGTTTTTCTGCACGCCCCTGGCCTTGTGGGGGCCTTCGCAGATCGACATGTGGATCCAGGACGTCATGCGTCAAAAGACGGCGGTCGAGGGCTCCAAGGGTGTTTCTTCAGCGGCCTCGTCTGCCGTCGACCCGTATGATACGGACGCACGATGAGGATGCAAGGGCCCTGGAAGGCAATGTCGACATTCTGCAAGCGGGGGGTGGCCAGCGAAAGCGGCCAAGGATTGGCCCTGTCAGGGCAGCCTTCGAAAGTCACTCATCCTTGCTGTGCGGGTTGACTGTATGCGTTTTTGTTGGTGTGTGCGTGTTGGTGTGTGTATTTCGATGTCGGATGGTGCTGGTGGTTGGAGCCGTCTGGGGGTCTGAGGTGGCCCAGTACTGGCTCCAGCCAGCAGGAAGGGCGGGCAGGCTCGAGGTTCTGGCTTTAAGTCGAGCGTGTCCCTCTACAGGGCGAATATTCCAGAATAGTAAAAATAGTCTGGGGACGATGTTTCAATCATGTTTGAGTGTGCTTGACTATGTTTTATGTTTTTAATGCGCGTGTAGGAGCACGTGCCCGACCTAGTTCTGGCTGCGGGAGGGCTTATGATTACTGTTCGGCCTCCAGGGGGGCCGCTTTCGGGCCCCAGGACCGTGAGGCGGCACGGCTCCCGGGTGCACAGTTGCGCCGGGTATGGGCCCCGGGGAGAGGTCCGGGGAGTGGCCTTGAGCGCATTCGGCCTCACCCTTGCCTCCTGGCCGAGGGCCCCAGCCGGTGCAGACCCGCGGCCCCCTCCAAGTTGGTGCGCGTTTCTTCTGACATGCCAAGAGGGCGAAAGAATGACACCGGGACGTCGACGTCCTAATTCCTGTCGAGGTCTGAGGCAGTCCAGATAGACCTATCGGTCTGGGAGTGATCTTTTGTAGCACTCAGGAAGGTCAGGGTCGATGCCGTCCCCGCCAGCGAGGCCGGCCGCGCCAGAGCTCACCCGGAGAAGAGGTTCGTTCCCCCTGAGTGGCCCTCGCCTGTCCCCCCTCCCCTCCGCGGCCGCTCGCTCTGTCCTGTTTTCCCTTCCTCGCATGCGGGCCACTTCGCTACAGCGGTGTCCCCGTTCAGGTGCTCTGGGTGTCTTGATAAGCGCGGGGGGGGTACCATCCCGACGGGGGTTGACCTCGCCTCGTCGTCGCGCCGCAGCGGGGGTCGGAGCGCCTTCGGCGCGCGGTGGCTGCCCGCGACGGGGGTCGATGTGGGGCTGCCCGCCCCCCCCGACGCTCATTAAGAAACTCGGAGTAGTTCTCTGCGCCGGCGCAGACGCCTCCTGCCTATCCGCCGACGCAAAGAGTGTTTCGATGTCGGGCGGTGCGGGGGAGGGGCTGTCGGTCAAGCAGTGGCGGAGCGTCCTGGCGTGCCTACAGGCCTACCAAACAATGTTCTCAGAACTGTTTGTGGTTTCCACGAAATGTTCTTAGAACATGTGTGGCTGGGACTGTCTTGCTTTTAATCCATCGTTTTTTTTAATGTTCCCCAGATAGGTTTGCCCTACAGGAGTTCCAACTCAAACCCTACTAACTGGTCCGTTGCCCCTCCCTATTCCTATGGCTATGCCCATGCCCATGCCTATGCCTCCCCCTAACTCCTATGCCTACGCCTATGCCTATGCCCATGCCTATGCACCACCTCTGAGCGCTCCTATGCCTATGCCTATGCCAACGCACCACCTGTGAGCGCTCCTCCGCCTATGTGTATGCTTGCTTGCTTGCTTGCTTGCTTGTTTGTTTACGCGATTGCTTGCGCACGTGCACGTTGACTTGCTTGCTTGCTTGCTTGCTTGTTTACTTACGCGCTTGCGCGCTTGCTTTCACGCTCGTTTGCTTGCTGAGTTGCGGATTTTCAAGCATTCCTCGGATTCCTTGATTTGAGTCGTCTAATGAATTTGGAGTCAACGTTGGCTGATATTCTAAGAGCATTGTTTTTGTTATTAGAACATTTGGGGGTTCTAAGAACATGTCGTGGCAGGACTGTAGGAATGAATGCAGGGACGGTCGGTCCCTGCTCAGGGGCTGTCGGGCCTGGGCTCCGAAACGCGTCTCCAGAGGCTCGGACGCAGAAGAAGCGGCCGGCAAGACCTGTTTGCGGTCGGGAGGTCAGAAGTCTGGGCGCGCAGGCGTCGGCTGGCCTGAGCGTTGTAAGCCGCCGCGGTTGTCCGCCAGGCTGCGCCCCTGACGTCGAAGGCGAAAATCAGCCACGCGCAGAGGGGGGTAGGGGGGAGGGGGGAGGGCTTCCTGGAAGCACCCCTGCTTCTCAGACGGCGCGGGCCTTATCTGTAGATGTCGGCGCTGGCGCCTTCTAAGAAGCCGCCTCCTTCTGAGAAGCCCTCCCCCTCCCTGCGCCGCCAAGACCTGTGCTTTCGGAGCTCATTTCTCGGGCCGGTGCTGGGCACCCCCTGGCGACGCCCGGCGCCGATCCTTGGAACCCGCCGCGGAGCCCTCCGAGAGCGAACGTTCGGCGGCGCGCCCAGGGGAGGAGGGGAGGAGGAGCAGGCCTTCTCAGAAGGCGGCGGGGCTTCTCAGAAGCCCTCCGACTTTGTGAGAAGTTCTCTGCGCCGTCGGGAAAGGCGTAGACAATTCTTGTTCAGAGAGCCCGAGGTCTTCCGAGCCTTCTGAGAAGGCCCGCCCCTTCCCACTTCCCCTGGGGCTCGACGCCAGAATGTTTGTGCTTTCTCTTCGTCCTCTGGAGCTCTAGGAAAACCTGGGCTTTTGCCAGCTGCGGCCGTCCGCCTGTCTGTGGGCCGAGCTGCCGGTCGCGGGCGGGGTTCTCTTACAGCGAGCCGCCGCCCTGCAGGAAAGAGCGTGCGCGCCGGATCGAAGTTCTCCCCCCCCCTCCCCTTCCTCTTGGAGCCGTCTGGGGGCCCTCGGTGGCCCAGCACTGGTTCTGGCCAGCAGGAACGGCGGGCGGTTTCGAGGCTCTGGGTTCGGGGAGGAGGCTTGCCTTGTCGGCATCCAGGGGCCGTTTTCGGGCCCAGGGACAGAAAATCGAACCCGGTGTGCAAAGCTGCACCAGATGGACCCCAGGAGAGGTCCCGCGATTGATTTTGAGCGGATTTGGCTTCATTTCCCCTTCCTGGCCGATTTTTAGGGGCCCAACCAGTTCAAACCCCCATTACCGCCTCCAACCGTCCTCCTCGTGCTCGTCCTACACCTCCCTCCTCTCTCCTCCATGAGGATATGTGAGGTAGAGGGCGATTGCCGCAATCCCTCGTCCCCCCCCCTCACCAGGTTCACGAAGACGCCTTTCGGTTGGACGTCGGATTGAAAATGGTAAGAGTGCGAGCGAACGAGCCTCCTACGAGCCTCCTCCACTCCTCCATCGTTTCCTCCCGCTCCTCCCCCTCGTCCTCAGATGGGGGGCAACTGCCTCGCTTCTGGGGTCCACGCTGCCGACTGGCCAGCCGCCTGGCGGAGGGCACACAGATTAAGGCGTCTGGCATGGCTACCCATCGGTCGTTCAAGTAGGTTTTCTAGACGCGTCGCGTACCCCACCGGCCCATCCAGAAACGATGCCTGGGCGAGTTGCCCTGGTCAGGGATGTGGAGAAGCATGCAGTGTAGTAATGGTTTGAGGTAGCCGTCGTACCCCAAGAGGGGGCAGATGGAGGAGGAATTGGAGAAATCGGAGGAGGGGGGAGGGAGGATGGGGAATAGGCGGAAGAGGAGAGCGAGGAGGAGGGCGAGCTGAGAGGCCAGTTGCTTCTTGGCTGCCTCTCGGCGTCTCTCGGGATGTGCTTTGAGATTCTCCCGGGGTTCTCTTCGGGCGTCGTGGGGGTCTCCTGGCGGCCTGGGGCCCTCCCGAAGCGTCCTGGGTGCCTCGGGGCAGCCTCATGGGGGTCTCCTGGGAGCCTCTCGGGGGACCTCTCGGCGGCCTCCTGAGCGCCTCTTCTCCTGGGGCACATCTTGGGAGCCCGGGGTGGCCACCTTGCGGCCCTCTTGGAGGAGCTCGATCAAAGAGAGGGGGGGGGGCGGGCACCCCCAGGAGGCCAACACATTGATTGCCCAACGCCGACGGAGCATCATGCATGTGTGCCTCCTCGCCGAGGCCTTCGTTCCCCAACCAGTGCTCGCACTGCAGGGCTCCTATAGCGGATATTTTCCCAACCAGTGCCTGCACTGAAGGGGTCCCAGTAGATGTTTCCCCAATCAGTGCTTGCACTGAAGGGTCCCAGTGGATGTTTCCCCAGTCAGTGCCTGCACTGACGGGGTCCTATAGCGGAGGTTGCAGGATTTGGCGGCGAAAGTTTCCCGCCGATCTCGGTCGCACGCTGGGTTCCCGGTTCCGGGTTCCCGGTTCTCGGGTTCCCGGTTCTGGGTTCCGGGCCGATTTCGGTGGGCGTGAGGTTCCCGGGTTCCTGGTCGATCTTCCTATCGATCGGTCTCACCATCGATCTCATTTCCCACATCTTTATCAATCTCACCATCGATCTCACAATCGATCTCACTATCGGTATCACACAAGCAATCTCACTCGAGATCGCACGAGCGATCTCGCGATCAATCTCCCCATCGATCTCATTGAATCGATGTCACTCTCGGTCTCACGATCGACCTTACAATCGTGATCTATCGATTACACTATCGATCTCAGTATCGATCTCGCAATCGATCTCAAGATCTCCTTTGCGTGCATGTCTTTCCCCATCGGTCTAGAGGTCAGGCCGTCGATGCTAATCGCTTCCGTGGGTTTTTGGGCTCAAGGAATTCGCATCCAGGCAGTGCGAATGGATTTCCTCTGGCCCGCAGCCCAATACGCGTGGCAGGGGGCTCTTGCATATTTCTGGGGCGGCAATCTGCAGCGCTGCCCCTCGATCACGATCCCGGCGTGCCCGGGGTTCCCTGGCTGCGCGGCCTGCCCGCCGTGCCCAGGCTGCCCGGCTTGCCCGGGAGGACGGCCGGCGCCTGCCAACCCGGCGCCGCCGGCAGAGCAGGAGGCCGGGGCCGACACCGCGGGGTCCTCCTTCTGGCTGGTGGTACTGGTGAACGAGCTGCTGTTCCTGGGCCTCATCGCCTGGTACGTGTACAGTTCGTGGGGTGGCGTGTGGCTAGCCTGCAAGCGTCGTCATGATGGCGGCGGCGATCGTGGCCCCAGCAGTGGCAGCAGCGCCGGGGATGCAGCAGTGGGCCTGGGTTCGCTACGACGGCGAGCCATTATGGCACCAGCGGCTGATCTTGGGGCGTCGGGCGAGAGTGCCAGCTGAGGTCGTGTCGCCGCTCGTCGTGCTGATCTGCACCGTGGACACGGACATCTACGAGGAGGACTACACGTGCGACGGGAGCGACATCATTGCCGTGCGCTACGCTGGCACACGAGCGACCTTCCCGCCCGGGATCCGAGGTGCGAACTCACACCGCTTCAGGCGGGACCTGACGATGCAGGAACAGCAGCAGATCGACCAGGCCGCCGTGGACTACTGCAGGGCGGCGCTGGCGGCCGATCATCACCGCCTTGGACTGGGAGCGCCGGCGGGGCCTTTCCTCATCCCACTGACCTTCGGTCAGGGCGGCCCGGCTGCCCCGGCGGAGGCAGGTGAGGTGGCGGCGGCGGAGGCTCCAGGGGCGCAGGCTGCTGCTCTGGTTCCCGCTGGTGGGTTACCTGGTGGTGCCGTCGGAGGAGCTGCAGGAGCCGGAGCATGTGCTGCTGGCGGAGCTGCCGGTCCTGCGGCGGCGGGCGTAGCCGCGGCCGCCATGTGGGTGCTGGTCGAGTCGACGACGGCTGGTGCGCGCGGGACTGCCGTGGCCCCGCCCGCCGGGTCGGTGCTGCGAGGGCCCGTCGGCCTCATGCCGCTGGCCGACGGCTCCTGGGTGACGATCCGCTCGATCTCGGGATCGGCCCGGGAGTACGCTGGGCGAGAGGCCGCGTCGGATGCTCGTCTGATGGGGATCCTGCCGAACCCTGCCGTTCCAGGCGGGAGGCTGCTGCGGCAGTGGCGCGACGCCGTCGCCAGCTTCACCGAGGAGGCGTTCGTGGACGGGCACATCCCCGGTCCGCGGACGTGCCTGTGGTGCTGCAAGTTCATCGACCGTCGTCAGGGAGGGCCGCTGGATCACTTCAGGTTCTGGAAGGCGACCCTCGGGCTGGCGGCCGACGACTACGGCGTGAACGACTATGAGGCCGGGATGCGCGCTATCTACACGATGGCGTGCTGGGACGGCCTGGACCTGCCAAACATCGCGGGCGCCGAGCAGATCCTTCGGAAGTGCCAGATGTACGAGTACGTCTACGTGATGGACCGAGACCCCCACCACGGAGGCCACGGCGCCGGCGACGGCGGCGAGGCCGGGGAGAACAAGAAGACTGGCAAGAAGGGCCGTGGTCGGGGGGGCGGCAGTCACAGCTTGCTGAGCTTCGGGTTCATCGACGAGAGCGCTGTCTTCACTGGTCTCAGCCGAGACCACGGGGAGAGCATGATCTGTCCCTTGCTCCTGGAGCATGTGGCGAAGGAGGTGGAGAGGGACGCTTCGGTGTTGAAGCAAGTACGCAAGGCCCGCGAAGAGCAGCGGGCCTTGCGAAAATGACGGGCGTACTACCACGCGGGCCGCTTCCCCCCGGCGGTCCGCGCGTTTCTGGAGGGGGGCCCAGCGGTGGTGGCCCGCCATTCGCTGGTGATGAGCACTTCAAGGGCATGCCTTGTGGGCGCCAACGTGATCTATTTCCACTGCCACGTCCTGATCAACAGCGTCAGGTCCGTTCAGAGGCGAACAGCTTCGCTTGCACACGTTCTGTGGCCCGTCGTGGTCTTCGTCGGGGTCATGCTGGTGCTATGGTGAGCGAGGTGGTGAATACCCTCAACGAGCTGTACGTCGGCCAGCCCTGTCGCCACGGCGACCACTCGCAGCCTGTCTCTGCGGGTCAGCAGCGGGCCTTGGACAACGTTCGCGATGCTGTCCGACGGTTCGGTAAGCCCCCGGAGGGATTGACTGGCTCAGGAGCCCTTGAGGAGCTTCGAGTTCTCAGCGACTACGCCGGCGAGAGTGCCACGGTCGCTCCGTTCAGCTTTGATAACATCAACAGCCTCTCGCTCCCGGACGAGGGTTTCACGCCGGTGGCGCTGGACACGCTGGGAGGAGGAGCTGGCCGCAAGATAGTTGAACGGCTTCATGATATGATGCTGTCCCAGTCCGAGGGTCGGGCTCGGATCGAGTCCGACGGTCCTCGGAAGCTCTACATCGACCCGGCGCTCAGGAACCCCAAGCTGTACATCCAGCTGCTGCGGATCCTCGAGCGCCGGAACCTCATCGACTACTACGCTGACAAGGCGCGCAGCGTGGGTGTGTTCTTCGTTTATAAGAAGTCGGGGAAGCTGCGGCTCATCCTGGACGGCAGGCATGCGTCCCTGCACTTCCGGGCCCCCGACAAGGTGGCCCTCGCGTCTGGCGCGAGCTTCGCTGGCCTTCACGTGGACAGCGGGAAGCCCATCGCCGTGGCCGAGGTGGACCTGGCCGACGCCTTCTACACGATGCTGCTGCCGCCGGAGTTCCGACGGTACTTTGCACTGCCGAGCTGCCGCGCGGGCCTGCTGGGGCTTGACTGCACCTCGGACGGGCGCCCTCTCAGCGGGACGGACCTGGTCTACCCGTGCTTCCGGTGCCCGCCGATGGGGTGCTCCTTCAGCCTCTGGATCTGCCAGGCGATGTTGGAGGCGACCGCGCTGCAGGTGCCCCAGCTGACCGTGGCCAATCGCTTCGTGGACAGGCGCCCTGTGCCGGGCGTCACCAGCGACGCGATCCACACCGAGTACGTGGACAACGCGCTGAGCCTCTCGACCGACCCGTCGGTGGCGTCCGCTGCTGCCGCTGCGGTCGACTCTCGGCTCCGAGCGGCTGGCCTACCAACCCACGGGGTCGAATGCAGTTTCGGCGCTGCCGCGCTGGGCTGGCAGTTCGACGAGAAGTTCCCGATCATCGGGCTGAACCCGGCGCTGCGGTGGAAGCTACGGCTGGCCTGCCTGGAGCTGTGCCGGAAGGGCTTTGCTTCGGGCAAGACGGTCTCGCGCGTGGCCTCACACTTTACATCGAGGGCGCTGATCCGGCGCGAGCTTCTGTCCTGTCTCAACTCGCTGTACGCTTTTTCTGCCCAGTATGGGGGCCGAACTGCTCGGCTCTGGCCCTCTTGCCTGCGCGAGCTCCGCTGGTGCGCCAGTCTGGTCGTGTTCTGCTTCCGAGACGCGGGTGCCGCGTTTGACAGCAGGCTCACGATGGTCGACGCATCGTGGTGGGGCGTGGGGGTCACTCAGAAAACATCGTCGTCAGCTGTTGCACTGGAGTTATGACGGTACAACGAGAGGTGGAGATTCAGCAAGACTCAGGAGGGTGGCGTCTCACATCGGTCCTTCGCCCTAAAGGCTCAGAGCTCTGGAGACCCCTTCGTGCCCGAGTCGGTCGCAACCTTCGAGAACCCAGGGGGCTTCCAGGAGGTGATCACGGACTTGGAGGAGGATGAGGAGTTCGTCGTGTCAGGCTCCGCGTTCGAGGTGGAGGAGGTGACCCAGGTGGAGAATGAGGAGTTCCCGGAGATCCCAGAGGGCGTCTGGGCGGAGGGGTGGTACCCGGTCGTGTCGCACAGATGGTGTCGTTCGGAACCTCAAGTCGTTCTCGAAGGTCGTGGGATGGTGGTGGCTGTTCGGCATATCCTTCGGCGTCTCTCGTCCTTCAACCGGTGCCATCTGTGCTTGGGCGATTGTTTGGGAACGATCCTGGCTGCCACCAAGGGGCGGCCCTCGCGCCCAGAGATGGGGCGCATCTGCCGGCAGCTGGCGGCCCTTTCGCTAGCTAGCGGCACTGCCTTCTTTTGGCGCTGGGTACCTTCCGAGCGGAACTCCGCGGACCGCGCCTCCAGGAACCTGCCGGGCGTGGGCTATGCTTCGACGACATCAGATACCTGCGGCCCCAGCGCCTGTGGTGGTAGCCACGGCGCCCGCTCCGACGTCGGGCGGCCTCCCGGCGCGAGGCAGCCTGCCTTCGGGCCCCCGCCCGGCCTCGAGCAAGAGGCGAGCTGGGACCCCGACGGGGCGGACCGCTTCCTCGGCAGCGGCTTCGACATTGGGGCTGGACCTATCGGCGGAGCCACTGGGGCGGACCGCCCGAGCGAAGCGTCGGCGGGCCAGGCATCCAGAGGGCGTCCACTGGCGGAGGCCCGGACAGCGGTCGTTCCTGGAGCAGAAGGCGGTGGGCAACAGGACGACGCTGGACTACCAGGCCCGATACCACCGTTTCCTGACCTGGGCCGCGGCTGCGAGGCCCCCAGTGTCCACCATCCCAGAGCTGGAGGAGACGCTCCTGGAATACTTCAACGAGTTGTACTTCGAGGGCCACGACTCGCCGGACGGGTCGAAGCTGGCGGCCGCCGTGACCCACTTCCGGCTGGACCTGCTGCCGAAGCTGATCAACTTGCCGCGCGTGCAGCGGGCGCTGAAGGGCTGGAAGTCCATGGCGCCCCCCCGGGCTCGCCTTCCCCTGCCTTGGCCAGTGGTGGCGTGGATGGCGGACTGGATGGTGACGAACGGGTGGGAGGTGGCGGCGACGGCGTCCGTGCTGGCCTTCATCCTCTACCTGCGCCCCTCCGAGCTGCTGTCCCTGCGCGCGATCTCGGTCGTGCGGCCGGTGAAGTGCGGGCCCCGGCACCTGAGCAAGTACTCCATCCTCCTGTTCCCGGCCGAGCTCGAGGCGAGGTCGAAGACAAAGGATTACGACATCAGCCTGCTGCTGGACAACCCAGAGTTCGGGTGGATGGATCAGGTGCTGGACCGACTGATTGGTGCTGGGCCGACACCCAGAGCAGCCGTTGTTCGCGCTGAGCATGAAGTCATGGACCCGAGCGTTCAGCCTCGCGTCCGCCGCCCTGGACCTGGAGACCCTGGGCCCCCCGGTGCTGTACCAACTGCGCCACGGCGGTGCCAGCCACGAGATGCTAACCAACGCTCGGGAGTTCGGGGACATCAAGAAAAGAGGGCGGTGGGAGTCCGACCGGAGTCTCAAGCGCTATGCAAAGGGAGGCCGAGTTCAAGAGCAGCTCCAGCGTCTTCGACCAGTGCAGCAAGCTCAGGCCCTCGGCTGCGCCGTGACTATTGGCAGCACCCTATGCAGAATTTGAGTTCGTGGGCCCACACCGCCAAGTCGAAGGTGTACCTGGAGATCTTCAGTGGCTCCGGGAACTGGTCGCGTGCCATGCGACACGGCCAGGCCTCGCGGCTGGCCCCGCGTGTCTTCGAGCTGGACATGGAGCACGAGCCCGCCCTGGGCGATCTCTCCAGGCGCAGCGTGCAACGTGTTGTTCGAGGTTGGCTTCGTGGGCAGCTGCTCCAGGGTGTCTGGCTGGGTATGCCCTGCAGTTCCTGGTCCATGGCGCGGAATAGGCCCAACGGCCCTCCCGCCTTGCGTGATGGGAAACATCTGCTGGGACTCCCTGGCCTCTCGTCAGGCGACTCGCTCAAGGTGATGCTGGGGAACAGGCTCGCGTGTTTCTCCTTCAGCTTCTTTCTGGAGTGCGCCCTGCGTGGAGTCCCAGCGGCAATCGAGAACCCAGCCACCTCGTGGGCGTGGCAGACCAAGTGGGCGGTACATGCCGCCAAGCAGACCAATGTGAAGGTGATCGACTTTGACTTCTGTGCTTTCGGCACGCAATGGAGAAAACGAACCAGAGTCATGTATGTGCACGTGAACCTAGACGCCCTGAGTAGTTGTAAATGCAGTGGCCGTGGCTGTTGCTCTTTCTCGCAGGTGCCGCGCAAAGCCCTTGAGGGCAAGGCGCCGTCGGGCGCCTTCTGGACAAAGATTGCTGAACCATACCCTCCCAGATTGTCCAGTTTGCTTGCAAAAGCGCACCGTGAGTCTAGGCTCTGTTCCGTGCACCGTGCCTTGATGCGAATGACGGCCTGACGGCCAGGAGGATCTTTTGAAGTTAGATGCTTTGAGGTCGCTGGATTGTCTCTCTGGCGAGGCGTCCCTTTCGGACGCGTCGAGCAGCTGCGTCTTGGCTGGAGAGTGATCTGCGGACAGACAACGTCGAGAGGCTGGCCTGACAATGAAGATCGGGTGGGGATATCCTTTGCGTGCATGTCTTTCCCCATCGGTCTAGAGGTCAGGCCGTCGATGCTAATCGCTTCCGTGGGTTTTTGGGCTCAACCCAGCCCGCCCACCCTTGAGCCTGTGTATAGATGCTTCCTGTTAGTCGCTTGAGAGGTCGCTGGATTGTCTCTCTGGCGAGGCGCCCCTTTCGGACGCGTCGAGCAGTTTGTTTTGGCTGGAGAGTGATCTGCGAACAGACAACGTCGAGAGGCTGGCCTGACAATGAAGATCGGGTGGGGATCCATATGACTAATCTTCAAATCATCCACCTATTGAATTTGGGTTTTCTCAGGTCGGGTTCCCAGGTTCCCGGTCGATCTCCTTATCGATCTCTTTATCGATTCCTTTCAAACCATCCATTGGTTGAGATTTTTCTGGTGTGTAATCCTCTGGGACCTCTGACACTTCGTGCCCCCCCCCCCGTCCAGGTCCAGGGAAAAAGGGGTATGGGGGAGGGGTCAAGACACCTCTCCCCGCCAGCAAGCTGTCTCGCTCACTCCCACCCGCCCTCCGAACAGTAAGTAGCACGCGGGCCTCAGCATGTTCAGCGGTCGTCTATGGATGGACAGGTGCTCGGAACTAATCCAGACCCCATGTGCGCGACGGGGCGAGGTGCGCCACGCGTGGTAGGCGCGCCAGGCGCGCCAGGTGCGCCAGGCACCCTAGGGCCCAAGCGTACCAGGCACGCCTCGCGCGCCAGATGCGCCACGTCCTCTACGTGCGTCATGTGTGCCGCATGGTCCAGCCGTGCCAGGTGCGCCACGTCCAGGACACGCGCAAAGTGTGCCAGGTGCGCCCGCGCACGTGACAGCACATATTAGGAATTATGCCTGTTCCCACCATCCTCTTCGAAAACCACTACACAATCGCGGCCGGAATGCCATATCAAGTATGGTGTTTTTCATGGGCCTGCACACAGCAGTCAATACGCCAGCAACCCCCCACTGTCCTTGCCAAAAACCAATGGACGGTGGTCGCGCGGTGGCCGCGCACGATCCAGATTTTTTATAGAAATGGCGGCCAAGCGCAATGCAGGCAATATGAGAGCACCCCCGCCGTCCCTGTGCGTGCGGGGCCCACGAGAAGGACCTAAGATTTTGCCCCTAACAGTTTGTTTCATATTGCTTTTGGACGGGGATGGTGTGGGGGAATGTTGGCACTGGTCTTGGTTGGCTGCCGGTCGCCCGGGGGAGTGGGTGTCTGTTAATGTTCCCTGATCGCAACCCCCCCCACCACACCATCCCTTTCCCAAACCAATGCAAACAAAAACACGAACACCCATTCATGGAATTTGCGCGGGCGCTTCGCGACCACTGCGAAGGGGACGGCGAAGGGGAAGGGACGGCGAAGGTGTGCGCATATTGCTTGCCGCGCGCACAATGCCAACCTTCCCTATCGTAAAACCATGCAGATTTCATCTTGCCTCCAACTCTGGAGCATGCGAGAACGCTCCACGTCTCCACGTCCACTTTGCAATTGTTTTTTGACGGACGGCGTCGGGGGGCTTAATCTTGTTTGCTTGCTGCGCGCAGGCCAACAACCCTTGCCAATTCACACTACCAACTACACTGTGCTTCCAAATCTGGAGCATGCGCGGACGCCCCGCGAAAACTTGACATTGGTTGGGCGGGCGGGAGTGAACGAGACGGTTTGCGCCTCCCCCTACCTCCTCCCCCTAGGTCTGGGAGGGAGGGGCCGCGAGGTGTCAGAGGGTTTTGTCGCCTCGGCGAGCAGTCAACACACACTGACTGCAGTAAGGTTTAGGACCCATGTTGTCCCCCTGAGGGGGCGAGGCCTACTGAGGACCACCCCTTTTTTTGATCTAGCTTCTGCAGCATATCCCCAAGGTGGCCCCCAAGAGGCCCCAAGGGACGCCCAGGAGGCCCCGAGAAACCCCCAAGAGGTGCCCCAGACGCTCAAAAAAAACAAGAGGCGTCCCCGAGGCACCCAAGGCGCTCCAAAAGGCCCCCCAGGACCGCCAAGAGGCTTCCAAGCCGCCCAAAGAGGACCCCAAGAAGCTCTCAAGAGACATCCGAAATGATTCTGAGAGGCATCCAAAAGATAGTTGGCCTCTCTGCCCACCCTGCTTTTTCTACTTCTCCTCCTCCTCCTCCTCCTCCTCCTCCCCCTCCTCCTCCTCCTCCTCCTCCTCTTCCTCCTCCTCCTCCTCAAGCCGCCGTCTCCTGCTCTAGCCCCTTTCTTCGCGGCCCAGCCCGCACCCCACGCTGAGCAGCTTCCGCCCCCAGGGCACCCTTCATGTCATGCCAGCGCGGCTGGCCATCCATATTTACTTCGCTCGCGTTCTTCTGGGCGATATTCCTGAGATGGGGTGTGTATAATCCGCTCAGCACGGTCGCGCCGCCGAGAAGCTGGCAGAGAAGCTTGCAGATGTCGAGACAGTTCAGCGCTGACGACGTCATCATGTTACCAGCCACTCGTGGGAGGCAGCTCGACCCCCCCAGCCCCGACGACCAGCACCAGACCTACCTGCACCGCTTCGTCAAGAGGAGCTTCGGCAGCGGCTCTACCACCAACAATCAAGCGGGAGTGGCCAGCGCGATCTGCAACCTCTACCGCATCAATCGTGTGACCGCGCTTCACAGCCCGCCACCGAGCATTCAAGGACGTGCAGGAGCAGTTCGCCTTCGCCGAGGAGGACTCGACACGAAGTTCACTGTTGCGCCTCCACCTCTACGGTCAGGGCTCGCCAAGCACCACTACGCCCGGGTCAAGACGATCAACGAGAAGCTCAAGAGGACCAACCAGACTCAGAACGCGAAGCACACCAGGAGTACTCCGATCATCGGCCCAGTACTGAACGACAACTACGGCAAGGTCGGATTGCTTCCCGCCAACTTTAGCAACGTGATCGGCGACCCAGGCGCTACAAGAGCACCTGGAGCGGCAACCGCTGCCATCCACTACACGCTCGAAGTGCACGGCAGGTGCATCCTGAACAATTCCTGGAAAGCGGGGCCCACGTACTTCAGTGCCCACGGGCAGGCCACAAGTCCCGACTACATTGCAGTGCCTCACGGTCTATGCTACCACACTACTTCTTGCAGAGTCTGGTGGCGAATGATTAAGGCCCCCCAACTCATCCATTACAAAGTGCCGCGCGACCTTGTCCTACCGAATGCAGCCGCCAACGTCATCATCCCGAATGTGTTCATCGACCTAAAGAGGACCGCCTGGGACTACGACAAGTCGGCCCTGGCCCTGCAGAAGGGCAAGTACCACAAGGAGTTCAATGACGTGACGGAGTTCTACTTCGGCAAGCACCAGGACAAGCTGAAGAAGTTGGTCGGGGACAACACAGTGGACGAGCTCGTGGGGCTCCTCGCGATCCTCATGAAGGAGGCAGCCATGCCCGTCTTCGAGCGCAACCGCAATTACAGCCGCGCGACCAGAGCACGCCCCAGTGAGCAGGAGTGGGTAGTTCACATTGCAGCAGGTGGCCAGCACGGAGGGTTCAGTGCTCGCCAGCTCGACCTCGAGGAGGAGCAGCGCATCTCGAAAGAGACCTCCCACGAGTTCACCACAGAGCACAACCTACAAGTTCGCCAGGAACAAGAGGACGCCAAGGACGGCATCAAGCGAGCTATCTACGGCGTCACCAAGCGGCTCAAGTACTTCAAGAAGTGCGCCCCCGTGCCAGACTGGGCACTGCCCGCCGAGATCTTCCAGATAACCTCCCAGCCCACCCACTTCGCCAAGCAGCAGCCGAAGTCGACTGGCGCGGGCTACGATGACGAGCTCGCTGAGCCCCCCCCCCCTAGCGCAGGAGAGCTTCGAGCCAGTCCTCAACCGCGCGTACCGCGTCGGCTTCAAGTCCAGGCCCTGGCCACTTCCACCTCCTCAGGCTCGCGGCTGCTGGCTTCATCGGCGTCGCGAATACCCCGCGCGCCAACAACGCGGAGGAGAAGCCTACCAGGCCAAGGGCGACCTCAAGCTGAAGAAGTCGCTCACGGAGATGATCAAACAAGTGGCGTCCAACACTCAGCAGATCGCCTGGGTCGTCTTCGCCGTCTACAGCACGTATCCGATGTCGGCTCAGTCCGAGGGGGTCAAGGCGCCCCATGCCTGCAGGAAGATCTACGCGGACAAGCGCAAGGAGGCGGGCAAGGGACGGTCGCTCGCTTCGTCCCCCTGCCCCGCGGACGTGGGAGACAATACTCAGAGCAGCCTCGCAGAGCACGGGAAGATAGTGGACCAGTTCAGCGCGGAGACAGACCTCTACAAAGTGAAGCACCTGAAGCTCAGCAAGTGCGATGACAGCTACCACGCGAAGTTCACGCTGCACCTCGCGCAGGGACCCAGGACCGTCGCCGAGGCCGAGGAGGTTCCGCAAGAGGAGCAGAAGCAGCAGTGCAACACCAAGGACAGCAACCACAGCGCGCTGATCCAAGAGGGAGCTACGGCGAAGACGGATCAACCACTTAAGGGAGTCATGGAGGACGAGCTGGCTGCGTGGAGGGCAGGGCTATGACTACGAGTATGAGAATATGGATGGCCGATACGACTACGCCTCGTTCGGCAAGGTGGTTGGCGTGCGTGGCGCCGAGATCACAATGAAGGTGCCGCTCTGAGCGGCGACGGCGGGGGCTTATCCTTGCGGCCGAATGCACTGCCTTGCCCCCCAATGCCGCTCTATCTATCTACCTCCTCCTCCTCCGGCGGCGCGCGCGGGTCTCTCGCGCGGCCGGAGCTCTGTAGTCGAGGGCCGGCGTAACCCCCCCGCCCTCGGCGCGTCCCACCGTTCGGCGGCGAGCCGCCCCCAAGCAGGAAGGGGGTGCGCTGGCCGGGGCCTATACCTCCTCCTCCTCCTCCTCCTCCTCCTCCTCCTCCTCCTCCGCATATTCCACCCTCTCCCCCTCCTCCTATTTCCCTCGTCCTCCGATTCCTCCTCCATCCTCCCCCTCTTGAGGTACGTCGCCCCCCCGAGCCATTTATTCCATTGCGT